ACAGCAGTAAGAGAGGTGCGGCCTACGGTTTCAGGCTGCAGAGTCTTGACCTTGTAAGTAGCTTTGCTTTGCTGTAGATTTACTTGTGTGTTTGCAAAAAACATTAAACGAGTTTTGTCACCTTTCAGCTGTTGGAGACTAAGTCCACCGACCGCTCCCAGACGCTACTTCAGTTCATCACTAATATCGTCCTTGAAAAATACCCAGACCTAGTCAACTTCCACACCGATCTTCACTTTATAGACAAAGCAGCTCTTGGTACATAGATACACCTCAATTAGGCCAACATTTTTTAGTGTCTGAATATGTTTTAAAAATATATCCTTTTTTCTTTGCTAGCATCCCTGGACAGTATTCTCCAGGATGTCCGGTCATTGGAGAGAGGAATGGAGATGACCAAGAAGGAGTTCCTGGTGCAGGACGACAGCCCGGTGTTAAAGGAATTCATCAAAACAAACAGTGAGCACCTGGAGTCTTTGATCAAAGACAGCAAGACGGCACAGGTTGGAGTTTTGTCATTATCAACCCATAATACAGCTTGTGTTATGTTTATTGTATTTACATACATTTTTGCTTATCCCTCCAGGAGGCTTATGCCTCTGTCGTGGAGTATTTTGGAGAGAATCCCAAAACCACGCAGCCTTCCATGTTTTTCCCGGTGTTTGGGCGCTTCATAAAGGCTTATAAGGTGAGGTCTTTGTTTCATCCATTTCTACAACAGCTCATTTCATGCTAATAACCTTATCCATGTTTTTAATGTAGACGGCACTGCAAGAAATTGAGCTGAAAAAGAAAATGGAAAAGGAGAGTTCTGAGGAAAAAGAAGCACCATCTCCAAACAAGCCTGCAGCACAAAAGGTAAGAAGATCCCTTCTTAGAAGTGTTGTTGACTGGAAGATTTCAGTTTTTCTCAGATTCTCTGATTTACAGCATGGATTGTCTTAAACTAAACATTTCCAGACAGAGACAGCGTTACAACAGCAGGGGGCTGCCAAGAGCACTACAGTTATCACAGAAGTTTGGCATAAAAGTAGCACATCAGTATCATTCATACACAAGAAACATTCTGTATGAGACGTATAATCCTCTGCTTAATCTGAGTTTATTTCAGCTCCGAGTCAGTTCACTTCATGTACCCACATTTCTTAACAATTTGCTACCATTTATTTTTTGTGTGTGTCTGTTTTCAATTGTAGCCAGAAACAAAAACGTGATACTAGTGTTAGTTAATTTGTTTGTCACTGTAGTGAAGCATTTGTAACATATAATGGTCGTCATAAAAAAAAAAAGTAATCTCTATCAGATCTTTGATTTAATTGATTATTCTCTGGAGACTTTATATTATTTGTCATCCCACAGAAGACTACATGAAATTATAAAAACATCAAAAGTATAAAGTGATGAATTAAAATGATTGGATTAATAGAGGTTTTGATGTTACAACAGAATTTCTCTAAAACAACAATAGCTATTCAGAATAAAGCTCAAGGAAAGTAACTCCTGAGATTTTGAATGATTCAAGTTTGTTTACACTGTATGATTATACTATTTTGTACTATTTTGTTTGCTAATATGTATTTCTTTCCTATTGTATTCTTGTAGCATTAATTACACAAATGCATCCCCATAAAGTCTGAAATCACTGAAGCAAATTTGTCAGGGAAATCTTACATTTAGATTTATCGGACACTGAAACTGTTCAAGCTCCTGTTTATGTCATTTAGGTGATTATGACCTAATATGGAAGAAACCCTAATATTCAATTTCTTGGGAAATTAGATTATCATATAATAGCAATAAAAACGGGTTTTAAATACAGAGGTTTCATGCTATGAGCATGCCTACACAATCATGGGCAAGACTGCTGACTTCACAGTTTTACAGCAGACGGAGTGACATCCTGTATAAGTAGAGTAGGCAACTAAATGTCATTGCTAGAGAAGCTGGCTGTTCACAAAGTGATGCATTTAAGCATAATAGTGAAAGGTTCAGGGGAAGGAAGAGGTGTGGTAGCAAAAGCTGCGATTGAAACGGCCACCAGAAGGCTGTGCAGCAAAGACAGAGGATTGTCAAGCATTTGCTGTGCCTGGAGTCACAGCTTAAGAGCCACTGACAAGATGAAGGGCATTATTAATACAAACTGAACTGAACTCAGCAAAACAACAGGCTGACAAATCTATGCAACAAATGATTAATGCAGTAATTTATGCAAATGAGACCCAATCAAGAATCTTTTCTAGATTATAATTGTCTGAGAAACTTGAGTTTTTATTAACTGTAATCTGTAAATATGAGAATGAGCACAAATGTCTCAGATATATTACTCTGTTTGGAATCTGAATGAGTGATATTGTAATTTTGTGTAAAAAAAAAAACAACAAAAAAAAACCTCAAAACACTTTCAATTATAATTTAAATGTCTTCTTTCAAGGGCCCCATGATGCCGAAGATGGATCTGATAGCAGAGTTAAAGAAGAGGCAGGTGAAATCTCCGGTACGAGAGGGAAAAGATGGTGCTCTGGAGGATATTATTACAGGTACAGTAACAAGAAACACTTTTTTTTTTAACACCAAAGTGTAGGTAAAGTTCTACCCTCATAACTTGCTTGTTGTCGCTTTTCATCAGATCTGAGGACAGCACCTTACAGACGCTCAGACGGTCGTCGCCCAGCTCAGCGCCAAGAAACTTGAGTCAATTTGGCTTATTTGATGTGATTTTGATGAATATGCATGATATACACTCAAATATACAAGCAACTATATCGAGCTTTTAGGATATGATGTATGTACAATGTAACAGGAACAGCGTCAGTCATTTGCCGTTGTGTATTAACTATATTTTTAGTATGACTTAGCTATGTAAATACAGAAAATGCAACATTTTTACCAATAAGTTCACCAACGTTGATTCATCAAGACAATCTTAACCTTTTCTACGCTCCGTCAGTGTACTTGTGTGCTTTAAAATTGTAAGATTGTTTAAAAAAAAAAAAATCATGACTTATTTTTAAAGTAAACATTTTTGTAACCACTGTATTTTGTATCTGTTTTCTTTATGACCCAAGAAGTGACTCGTGTGCCTTAAATCAGAAGGAATAAAGCAAGATCAGACTGTACAAGAGGGCTGCACTTTATTGGACACACAATCACAGCAAATTATGTACAAAAGAAGGCAGGTTCAGGTGCCTGCTGTCTTCTCACAGAAAAAAAACAAACAAACACACATTTCTCACAGAATATCATGGCATCCACACTGATAAATTTATCTCCAGTATCAGTAGGCATTTAAATTTTTATATATCTCATATAGCTGATCTATTTTCTGTAGTTATTTTTGTTCCTATGTCACACTACTCTACAAATGGGAGAACCGTAGCTGATTTCTCATGTTGGGGTGCGTTCAAGCCTTCTGATCCCTGGATGTTCAACACTCCCAGTCACTATCGTCATCACGTAACTTCACAGTAAGACTGAACATGCCCGTGTCACACATACTAAAATAATGTATCGTTTCTGTTTGTAAACCTCAAACATATATACCCACTTCTCTGACTCTTTCTTATAACTTTGAAAAAAACATGTACTGTACGTAACTTTTTTTTTTTTTCTAAACTGCACCGTGCGTTTGCTTGAGACTATACATGCATTGTTTTTGTATATACCTTTGTATCCATCATCATAGTTTATAATAAAACATTATCTTTTGGACATAATTCGGTGAACTCTCTATGACTCAACCTATTTACAAGTCAATTTTATTGATTTTTTTAATTTATTTTTGATGCCAAGATTTTTGAACATCCACACATTCAAGTAAAAATCTCAGATACATACTACAGAATGTAGATTAAGTATCAGAAAAAAAAACACAATGGCAAAATCAAAGACTTCATAGCTCTCCACATGATTCCTTAATATATCTGTCTTTTACCGTTTTAAAAGTTTAGCTTAAACGCTACTTAAAGCCACAAACTGGAGCAGAATAAGCAACATAATGTACACTTATAGTCTCTGAACCTTTTAATCCACATTCCTGCCATCTCAGTTAACATGCAAACAAAGAAAAAAAAATAGAAAAAGACAAAAAAGAATTAAAGCCAAGTAACTTGCTTTAGTCAAAGCAGCAAGGCCTCCTTTGAAGCCTTTGGACTTGTGTCACAGTAAGTACTAAATTGTCTGTGTTTCTGACCATCTCCAGTGTCACTAATACCATTTAGATCACAAAAACAGAATGGCAGAATGAAATGAGGAAAAAGAAAAAACACATACAAACTAACCCAGACCTAGTAGCAAAATAAGCCCCTACTAACAGGCACTGGTCCAGCCTCTTACACTTTAACAGTAGGAGGCAAAGGTGCAGACAAGCTGGACGAGCATTTTCAGGGAAAAGCTTTTGAAATCGTCATAATTACATAAAGTTCAACTCATTATTTGTAAGGAAAACCCTAGAATTTCAAAATCAACTTTAAAGTATATTACAGCGCCTAACAGTTATCTACACAGATATTTTAAACAATATAAAAATGTTCTGCATATGAATAAATAATCTTAGTGTGAAATGTATTATCTCTCTGAATGAATTAAAAAAGAAAAATCTGTACAAAATGGTCACTAATATATAAATCAGAAGATATGAGGACATTTTACAGTATAGAACTTAATCTAGGCCTAAATATTTATGTATATATTCACATTTGTTTCACAATTATATCATACACAAACATCTCACTTAGATATATTTATATATGTATATTTCTCCTATGTTTAGTTTCAAGTTTGCATGGGTTTTTTTTCTGATTGCCAGAGTGTGCTCAACATGCCCCCAAGCTTGTTGAAATCACAGCACACTAACACTTGTTTTGAGCAAAAAAAAAAAAAAAAAAAGGCCAGGGGGCATTTTAACATGGTTCTCTGGTTTCACTTAGGCTAAAATACCACATACTTCCTCCTTGCTGCAAGCAGGAAATTCACCTAGGAAAGTTACTGCTTTAAGGATTTCCTTTACTCTGTTCAGTTTTTAACTAAGCTTGAATCTTCCTTGCAGATCCAGAATGCACTAAGAATGAGGCTGTGAGCTCGCACATTTGTGCTTTCGAGCAGTTTTCATTTTTCTTTAAGACAACACAAAACGAAACAAAAAAACAGGAACCAAACCAGGTTTCTGAAGCTCTTATTTGGGTAAAAGTGTTATTCTGTCAGTGCTGCTTGCAAGATCATTCAGGCACCAGGAAAAAACATTGCAGGTCCTTGGAGACAAACAGGCATAAATATGACAAAGGCAAAGAGGAATACCTTGGTAAAAGAGTAAGAGTGCTAAATACCTATTGCACATCTTGCTTAGAACTGAACCCCATCAGAAATCATACCTTCTTAACCTGAAGCTAAATGATTTCAACAGACCGCACACAAAAAGAACGAAAACTCAGAGCAAGGGGGAACAAGCAGCCGGATACTGTCTCCGTCCGACACTCATTCTTTCACTCCAGTGCTCTCCATGGAGACAGGGCGAGTCAAAGCCGGCCTTATTAAAGTAGCCTTCAAACTCATGTCCTCAAACTAATCCTCACTCCTCACGCCGCCTACTCTCTGACACAAACCGCCTTTGCACATGTGTTAATCTCGATGCCCAAGAGGATCAGTTTCTTTGAGCCATTCTGGCGAACAGCAGAGAAGTGCAACTGTCCGTTTAACCTTGTCAACAAACAGGCAAGGCAGCTTCCAGGCAAACACAGAGATCCTGTAGCCATGGAATGGTTTCATTATGAAGGCTCTACATTAGAAAAACTCCCCCCGCCGCGATTTGACGTAAATAAACAGCAGTCAGAAAAACACCAGCCACCCAAAATAGTGAAAGTCAAAACTAGACCGATGAAATGTGTAATTTATAGATTTGTGCTCATCAGAGTTAATGCAGTACTTAAAGTGAAAATTAAACCCTGGATCCCCCCAAAAGAATTGAGACAAAAAAAAGGAAATTACCATAATTATTGAATTTAGAAATAATTTTAACATCATGATTTGAGCTTCAAAAGTAAAAATTAGCTAAATTGAAGTAGTAGACTTCTTTGCAACTAATTCAGGTTATTTGACAAATACCTATAATGTGCCTTAGTAAGGATACAATGCAATAATAATTTATTACTGCAACAACTACACAACAATTTCTGTCTGATGGCAACAAACCAATTTAGCACCAAGTCTTCCTTCATAAGCATGATTTTAAAATTTAGCATCAACTTGCAGACATCCAAAAACACTTTAATACAGGCACATCTCAGTGATAACAATAACATGTAAATGCAAATAAATTTCAGTAATTCAGTTTAAAAAGTGAAACTCATAAAGATTTACTAAAAGACAGGGTAACATATATTGAGGTGTATAGTTCTGTTAATCTTGGTTTGGTTTGCAGCTAATAAAAAACCCCAAAATTCAATTCACTCTTTCAGTGCTGTGATACAGACCATGGCTGTGCTGGCTTTGACTTGATAACTACACAATGGACCAATACCAGCAGACTTTCATGTGAAGTGGGACCCTGGACAGCCGAACAACAGCAAGATCTTTTTTTTTTTCTAAGAAGATCATGTCTGTAATTCAGTGAAGTAAACACCACCAAGTGAATCTCCATTAAACTCTAATATGGGATTTGCTTCAAAGTTCTCTTAAGACTAACTCTGCTCTTTCTCTTGTGTTTTATTCCTATTGTCTAAAATTGAGAATTTTGGGATCTTTATTGCTATAAGCCACAATTATCAAAATTAACAGAAATAATAGCCAGATACATTTAACTTTTTGTAATGTTTCTATACGAGTTTCACTTATTGCGATGCATCTGTATATTGTTTAACAGCAATAATACCGTCACACCAGTTTACAATAACATGTACACTAGATCGATGTTCTTGGCAAAAGGTTCTCCAGACCTTTTTTGTGTCTAAATGCTAGCTTGAAAGACTCTGGCATTCATATTTTATGAAAGAAAATAATTGTAAAGTTATATCGTTCCTATTTCGCTCATTTTTAGTAAATGAACTTTTTAAAGCCTCCTAACATATTTGATAACTAAGCTGACAAAGAGGGGTCTTGTGTTTTGAGAAGAAACTGTGCTTTCTTTACATTTTTATAATCTTCCCTGATTCCCTCACAAGCGCCAAGAAATACATAATTTCTAAACATGTGCTGATTTCAAACTGTAATTAAGTGCTATCACTTCATTGTAGTCAAAGACAAAGTACAAACCCCTGTATGATAAAATATGGGTGCTTTTTAGCAGATAATCCTGAAGCAACTATATCAACGGGAAACTATTTTATATGGGTGAAATGTTCTGATCACTGTGATCAATTTCATCCAAGGGGCAGCATAGAATATATCATTGTAAAAGATTAACAAAATGAAATAAAACTATTGCACATACATTGTGTCTGTGCTGTACAGCTTAGCTTTTACAAGTGCGTGCTTGAGTCTTTGGGATGGGCAACCTGTCAGATGCTACAGTGAAAACATCCTGATTGTCAATTAACTAGTTACACCGCACACACAGTAAATCCAAACTGGTTATACAGACCCTCCTTTGCATTTCCCCTTCTTTCAGTGTAACTTTGTTTCCTTGCTTTACATCAAACAGAAATGTGAAGATCCATGGCTGCTCGTTACAGTGTGCTTTTGTGAATAATGCTGCAATATTCTTGTTCCCAACAGATTAAAAAGGCTAGAAATGTTAACAATGATAGATGCACGAGTTTCATTTGCAGAGATACATACAAAATTTCAACTGCAACATTAAATTAGAAACCCAAAGAAATGTGCAGAGGAGGGAGAACAATTATGTAAACTCTCAGTGAGTACTAACAGAGGGGAAAATATAGCACCGATTTAAAATCTAAAACTTGGTTGATGTAAGAAAAGAAAGGAATGCCCTTTTTGCACCAAACAGTTGAAAACCACGTTCATCACATCTGTCTTTTTTTTTTTTTTTTCTCAGCAGATTTATTCTGCAAGGTTATGCAGGTAAGAAAGAGCAACATTATCCTAAACATATATAACTACTGGACTCACTTGGTGATTATTGCGACTCTATTTTCATACACACAGTCTAGTTATGGAAACTATAACACGAACAGCCCACTATATAAGAACACGTCCAACCACACCAACCTTGTAGCAGACAGCTGGTGGAAAAGCGAAGCCTGGCCTGTTTGTGTGCACTCTGTTTGGGAATCTGGCAAAAGGACTGCGTGGGAGACCGTGCAGCCAGACGAGAGAAGGAAACTTGTCCAAAAAAGAAAAAGGAGTGAGATTATGAAGCATCCAGAGTCTGGTGCATTCAACATTAGTAAGACAAAAAAATGAAGAAAATATGCAACAACAGAATCCTGAAAGGAAATACATGTAAAAAAAAATGCATCTATTCTTGCTCGGTGACAAGATAATTTTAGAATTATATTCTTCCATGTCCTCCTCCTCCTATTACTCATTACTAAGAGTTGTCATCATCCTTGCTGTTGCCGAGTTGTTGGGGGCTGTCAAGTCTCCGTCTGGTGGGTTTGACAACGCCAGAAGAGAAGGTAAAGGAACCAAGAGGTGTGGGAGAGGAAGGGGACAGGGATGGAGTAGGGGTTGTGGGAGAAGAGGAGGATGTAGGGGTGGAGGACAGGCTGCTGGGAAGAGAAGACGATGCTCTCTGCTCCCGGAGAAGGCGGCGTTGACGTAGAGCGGAGGACAGGAGCAGGGCCTCGGTGCAGAGGCCGGAGGCTGACAGGCTCGCCAGGAGAGCCTTTGCTTGGCTGGAGGAGACTGTCAGGGAGGGCAAAGTCCCCTCATGGGGGGGCATTCTCAAACCAGGTGCAAAAGCTGCTGCAGGAGTAGGCATTCGGGCTAAAAAAATGCTCGCTTTCAGTCCAGACAGGTACGGTTCAGTGGTTCCGGCGCGGTTGATCCCCAAGGCCTTGGAGTAGAGCGGGGACACAGAAGACAGGAGGGGGCGGAGGAGGAGCGCAGAGAGATGAGGTTTTCAGGGGGTTGAAGTGGGAAATTATGAAAAATTTAAAAAGTCCTAAAATTGGTCGTGGCTGGGCAGTGTTCCCTGCAGCACCTTCCGTCACCAGGGCATTCAAACACACCTGTGCAAGTAAGCGTGCTTGCACAAACAAACACACACTCACACCCGTCTAGAAGCACAACTTTGGACTGAATGCTAGAGATGTAAAAGGAGCTGGTTAAGTAATGTGGGCAGATAAGTGTGCATCTCTGTAGTCACGTGAAAAGGAGGAGGAGACTGAAGAGGCTGGACGAGGGGACAGGTCGCTCACTGCTGCAGGGTAATGGTTGCAGCAGACGGGCAGGCCGGGAGGTGAAGGGCAGCACGGGGTCACACAAGGGGGCGGGATTGATGAAGTATCAGAAGAAAACATGTAGTGGGCGGGAGAGGAGGGGGAGTGAGAACAGGAGACAAACACAGGAGATTGTTATTCAGGTTGATATCAGCATGTGTGATGAAAGCCAAGACACAGGCTACCATCTATACATGATGACAGAACCACTGATCCCACTAATAAGGCGCAACAGTGAAAAAAGCACGTATTACACTGTTGACTACCTTTACTTCACATATTTCTATGATGTTCATTCTTTGAAAACGCAGCACACTCGGATGAACATGCAGAGCCACACCTTTATTTTATTTCAAATAATGAACGATTCGGCCAGTAGATGGCACTGTTTCAACAGAATGAAACTTGTGGGAAATACATTTTTGAAGATGATTTTGTTTCACTGATGTGAATGCATGTGACAGAAACCTTTTACATGCTGTAAGTGCAAGGCACAGACTGTACAAAATACACCGAATGGATGGAGCACAAAAAAAAAGTTTAGTCAGGAAAGTTTTGTCACTTTTTCAAAAGAGTAAGCAGGAGGGAAAAACATATCAAAGACTTTTGTTGTGGGAAATATAGCCAGCTGAGAGATTTGCATTTGCTCTGCTTGAGATATTCTTCTCACACCTGACTCAAACTGCTATTCTGGTCTGTGAAGGAGACTTGCCTCCTTGTTTTGCACTCTCACAGCTTCCTGCCAAACGGGACGGTATGTCGCCACTACCCCCGCTTCGTGCTCGTCACCTACAGCTAGCCTGTTTTACTGTCGGGAGTCATGTAAGGCCAAACGGAGAATTGGATGGTTTGAGGCGTGAAAGTTATGCCATTGTCATGCCCTCCTTGATCTGTGGCAAAGCAAACGAGGAGAAACAGGAGCTTTGAACTCTAGCGGCTGGGCATATTGATTTGATTGGTCCTCGTGCTTGAAATGCGTTAGTCCCACGGACAGGGGGTTTCAAGGAGAAGAGAGACTCGGTGCCTCCAAATGTCTCAACACCCCTGGAAAAGATGGTTACTTTTTTTTAAATTTCAGTGGAATAATCTCACGCTGAAATTTTTTAGAAAATCCATCGTGTTAATTTGATCATGTTTATTTAGTTGGGGGAGAGAAATGAAGAGAAATTAGTTTTTAACAAAATCAGTGGTGCCGCAACTGCTGGCACTCTAATAAAACTCCTGAAAGCATAAAGGGAGACTATTCCTCTATAAAGATCTTCCTAGATCAGCCAGAGTCCCGACTGGACACCGGCTGATCTAATTTCCTCTCCAGCTTACCCTACAAGCTTTCAAAAAGATTTAGGTCATGAGAATGAGTTGACCCTTCCAGAAGGTTGATTTTGGGTCTATGTTGAATCAGCTACATGTTTTGGATCATCACCAAATGATCTACTGACCACCCATTTTCAATTTTCTGAGAGAGACCTCCAGGTTTTTATTTAAAATGTTCTGTTTTTGCAAATAGCTATGCTGCCTTGTACTTTAATAGAGTTTAGAGTTTTTAAATGAGAAAAAGGCCAACACCATCCCAGATCCTCCAACCTGCTTAATACAGGGCAAAAGGGGGTTTTAATAAATATTCATCCTGCGTTTTATGCCAAACACGTATGGGGTGTTTGTAACAAAACATTACAGCTCAATCTGATCGGCCAAAAGCACATGGTTCATTTTAAAGTTCCAGTAACATTTAGCAAACTTCAAACATTTGTGATGATGGGAGAGAAAGCCTTTGTGATGGCACGCTTCCCCAAACAACAGACCTACTGTTCACTAACAAGAAGCCCTGGAGATGTTTTCACTCCTCTCACCGTCCTCCTCATCGGGCTTGAAGGCAGAAAAACAAACTTGCATCCAATTTTAGAGGAATTCGTCTTTGTGTCTTGTCATAAATATATCCAAGGCACACAGCAAGGTATACAAGGTACAATGTGAAACAAAAAAAATCCAATAAGTGTGACAGATTTTTTAACGTATTTTGGTTTTTAGTTGGATTAATAAGAAGTGGAAAGAGCATGTTGCTCTTGTCAATTTGGAAAAAAGAAAAGTTCAATAAAAAAATGTTACTGTAGAAAGCTGGTTGGAAATTTGCAAGCTAGTGTATTATTTTATGAATTGCTGACAATCAGCTTGTCCATGCTCCAAAATACATTTGACTGATTTATCTTTGAGATTGGGTTGACAGATCAGAAAAATGTGGAGAATAAAAATCATTCAGGTTTTAATAAGGATAAGGGAGTTCCTATCTAGATCTCTAAAACTCTGCCAGTTTACTGGATACAGTGTTTTATTTTCCAAAAGAAAGATTTCTGATACCTTTTGCTCAACAAACCTTACTTTACCTTCACAATGCCCACTGTTCTCCACCTATAAAATAAAAATCTACAAATTCATTTTGCCATAGTTGCCTCTTTTTTTTTTACCTTCTCTTAGTTAAATCAATTGTCTCATTATTTTTATTAACCATAAAATTGTATTAAACCAGTATGTAAACTGCTTTGGCACCGGTTTTTGTCCTCTGACAATTAGCTTTGAGGGTCCGAAGCCCCTCTAAGGACACTGCTTTCACACATCCAGAGTCTTTCACAATAGCTGTTTTGAACAGTTTATGCACAAAAGAGACTGTGCAGTGTCAGTGTCATTCTGAAATAATAGGATTAATTTCCCTTTCAGTTGACAAGAGTAGGCATCTACTCAACCTTCAAATCTCAGGGAATGAACAAAACCGACAGAGGGTGATGGAAAAGGAAAAAAGGGAAAGCTTGTATAAATTGCAGAGTTCAGGAAGCCAAAAAAGGGGGAGAAGAGACATAAAGGGGGAGAAATGTAAAAGATTTAATGACGGAAAGAGAGATGCCCTCTTCATATTAAATCATCTGTGATTGCCAGTGACTTGAGTGGCGGTTATTACTCAGCACTGCAAAGGTTCTTCCCAATCTTCTCAGTCTGAGGAGACCAAAGCCTCATTACTTCTCCATCTCCCAAATCTCTCTCTCTGCCAAACACATTCATTTCTCTGCAATCTACAAAACTTACTTTTGAGTCTGAAAGCGCTCTGGGTTATGAAGGTTTAGGTGCACTTCACTGCTTCTGTTATTTTTCAAATTACATCGACATTAAGCTTTCCTTGCCCCCATGCACTGGCAAGAATCTTCTCCCAGCTTTGCTCGACCGACATGCTTCAACGGTTTAATTTCCTAGCCTCTGGAGACCATCTAGCATCCTTATGTCCAAGTCTTTACTTTACATCACCTCTTTAAATGCTAACAAGTTGAAATATAAAAAAGAAAAAAACCCTGTAGAGTCAACTATTGAGCAAAAGTAAAAGAACATTAATCTAAAATAGCTTTAAAAGGGTATAAAGAAAATAAAGGTGCACTCATGTTTTTTCACCTCATAAAAGTAGTCCATTAATAGTGCTTTGGGAAAATAATAATTTGAACCAACTAATATCTTTTGTAAATTTGTTCATGCTCCAAAAAATATTAAGTCTGGGTTTTGGAAGGGCCTTTTAGCATTACAATTACAAAAACAACCAAAGCATCAAATGAGCAGCTACAGGCAGTCTAACAAAGAAGCAGAACTGTCAACAAACCTGGTGTCAAACTACAGGCTTCTCCACTAAGTGCTAAGTCATGTTTTACTAGAAGATTTAATACAGAACAATGGAAAGGTCTTTTTTGGTCACAAATATTTTAGATCAAACGCTATTTTAAAATCAAACCAAAAAGTGCAAAATGCAGAATTCAAAGAGCTTCTATTAGGAGAAAAACACTTTCCAAACCAAATAGGCCTTATGTGAAAATATAATTGCTTCTCTTATTAAATCAAGAAATTATCTGTTGTTAATCACAATTCATTTATTTGATTTCACCAGCCACATTCAGGCTTAATTACTGACTGGACAACACAGAGTTGTCAGATTGAATTGTTCATTCCCTACAGAATATCAAAAAAGAACACAAACTGATTGAAAAAAAAAATTAAGAGCAGATGGAAGACAAAGTCTGTGACATCTATCAGTCTGTGAAGAGTTGCAAGGACATTTCTAAGGCTTTAAAACTCCAGTAATCCAAGAAAAAAAAACACTGAGTGATGAACCTTCGCAGGAGAACTTGGCTTACCAAAATGACTCTCAGGGTGCATGATGTGGCAGCTGCATCTAGTGTAACAGGATTTCATGAAAAGAACATCATAACTACAGTGAAATAGGCTGGTGGTGATCTGGGGTCCTTTGTCGCTTCAGTACCTGGATGACTTGACATAATAGATAAAGCCATGAATTCACCTCTCTTATAGAAAATCCTACAGTTAAAATAATTCTAGCTGTTAAACTCAGAGATAAGCTAAAAAATCGAGTCCTCAAAATATAAAATAAAGGAGTTCTATGACTTAGACCTAGGTGACATGCATTGAACTGAATATCTTTGGTTGAAAAACTGCTAATGAGAAGAAATTAAAGTTGCAAGTCCTTGCAGGTTTAATTCATCACAATAGTGACATAATCAGTGATAGGGTTTAGGGAGTCATTACTTTTCACCCAATGCTGAGCTGGTTTTGATGCCTTTTTCCATTATCATCATTTCAAAATAAAAGAAATCCATCAGGGGGCAAATACTTTTTTGTGGCACTGGACCATATAGAACTTTCATAGCATGTGCTTTTTCTAGAGTTTTGGTTAATAGTCTGTTTCCACTGATTAAAATATAAATCCCTACAAAAAGAGACTTCATAACCCCAATTATTCGATGGTCTTGGATCTAAAAGACAACGAGCTAAAAGTTGAATCATTTTCTTCCCAATTCTGTGTCCAGCGTCCTGTCTCATGCATCAGTCTATGGTATCAAACAACTTATGTGTATTCTTCAAAAATGGTTTTAACTTCATGCAGTCCCTGCTGAAACCTGTCATATGAAGTCATATTCTTTTGCTGAGGGGTGAAGCATGCCGAGGACGTGCAACACTTGCGTGGAGATGATGTAATGGTCATGGAAACGATTTATTCTTGAGTGGTGAATGAAAATAAAGAAAACAATGGGTTCCAGAAATAGATGCCCACAATCTTAGTTCTTAAACAACTTTGAAGGCTTACTTAAGAAGTATAGAAGTCACATAGGAAAGACCAATGTCATTAAATTTGCCTTTAATAAGGGTTTATCATACTAATCTTCTGTGAAAAGAAATAAATAAAATGTCTGTGGGCAGTTATGACAATACTAAGATGATGAATCCATTAGATCGTGGATTCAACGCGATTTATCAAAATCAGAGCTAATAGTCAGATAATACCTGTTGCAGGCTCTGCATCTTCTGTAAGTCCTCTTTCTTGCCACTTTTAGTCTTCTCTGTGCTATTTTGCTGCAGGTGCTTCAGCTTTGAGGCAGCTGAGGAATGAATTTTACCAATGCTGGGATTATTCCCACCCTGAGAGAAAAGCAGGAGAGAGAAAAGCAGAACAGAAAGTCGATTAAATATGGAGCACCTGGTTATACATTTCACTTCCTCTCTACAATACCTTCTGTTTCTACCATTGACATGAATTTACTTGAAAAGAGTTTGACTACATCAAGCAAACCAGTCTCCTGAGACAAGTAGGATTTTTTTCTCTTTAAAGATTTGAGAAGATAGTTGGTATAAAGTTGAGAAAATGCACTTCACTGAAAAATATCCTCTATCAAGAGAGAATGGGACAGAACAGAACATAGAAAAGCAGCACTGAAAGTGACACTACGTGATCTAGCTTCACAGCAAGATCCGCAAAGCTCTGTGCTTAATGATCTTCCCCACTGAGCTACTCAATTCACTGCCTCTAACAAACACAAAAACAAATACACATTTTCATCCAGCTGTGCCTCTTCTGCACACAAAGACACAAGATAAAGATTATAGTGCCTTGCAAATACCTTGAACTTTCTCATTGTCAGTTCACAACTACAAACTTGTACACTGCGGACGTCCAAAGTACAGCTCAATCTATGCTCCCATCAACTCTGACCACCATGACTTTTGTAGTTGAAGCAGCTCCACATTATGTTGCTGCCCATCAATGTGTTATCAATGTGTTTTACTCCAGTATGTCCAAAGTGATGTACAGTGTTTGTTTTCCTTCACACTATTTTGCATTTAGGCGACAATGTTTAGTTTAGTCACTTCTGACAGGAGAAGCTTCTTCCACATATTTGATGTGTTCCTTAAGAAGCATGGGAAACTTTGATCTGTCTATATGGCTTTCGTTACATAGCGGCATTGTCACTCTTCCGCTGACCTCATATTTCTGAAGTGCACAACCAATAGATTTACTGTCTACACGCTCTCCCACTTTAATTTTAGTCAGTAAACCTCCTCCTCTGCTATAGTCCAAATTTCTCCACAATTTTATCGCTGACCAGTTTGCTGACTTCTTTGGCATTCATGACAGTGTCTTTTCACTAATGTTTCCTAAAAGACCTGTGTGCCCTTCACAACTCAAATCGTAATTGATTAGTGGATTTTACTGAAGATCATCAGCTTTAACGGTGAGCTGAATACAAATGCATGATAAACCTTTCAGATAATTATTTGTAAAAATGTTGACAATCATGTATAATTTTCCTTCCACTTTACTTTGTCAATTCTCTGTTTTCTTACCTTACAAATCTTAGGCCTTATCCGCACACAGCAAGGTACTTATAAAAACTAGTATGATCATTTAAAAAAATAAAAATAAAAATACGCACTCAATCATTTATCCCAAATGCAACAAGGGCATTGTAGCACAAAGTTAAAACCTGTGTCAACCAATCAGAATCCTTCAACGTTACGAATTCAACATGGCGCCAGGAGGTCCATTTATGTGGACAGATATTAAGGTTACACCTCTTGTAAATAACATATTAGAATATAAAATTAATAAAATATGAGATAATGTCAATTGGGAATCATGTCAAAGACAGTGTTTGGATATATTGGTTCATTATTGGTTGCTGACTGATGCACGGGACTCTAAAACTCCATTTCTCAACACATGCAAATACAGAATTTTCTCAGATCTCCACTTTGGTCAGAGTTTTTATAAATAATCGTTCTCAGTGATATAAAATTGAATTTTCGTGTGGATGAAAGGCAAAGCAAATAAAGATGTATTCATTTTCCCAGATATCCAGCCACGTATTGGCTGTCCGTTGGGTTAAGTTCAACTTCTATTTCTTTTCGGAAATGTGAACCACAATTGAGTAAGAAGGGAGCCTTCTTGTCTGAATTTAGTTTGCAGTACATGTTGGACCAGAACAGGGTGAAGGGTTCTGTTGGAATGATCAACGTGATTGAAGCTGGAGTGATGAAATAATGTGTGAAGACTCTGTAATCCTCAGCCATTCCCGTAGGAACGCTCCATGGCTCCACATCAGAGGGCTGAAACTCGCTATGACAGCGACTGTCAAGTATTTCAGTGGGAGGATGCTTTCCAGGCAAGAGTCAATACTACGCAAACTGTCAAGTCATCTCGGCACGAAGACAGCTGTGCTTTAAGCCTTTTGCTAATTGCTAAGCTTTTGTCGCTTTGCGGTCAGCTGGAGGTGAGATGAAAAGAGGCGGCTCATTATAGCCGAGGACAAGAAGTTCATTACATGGTCATAAGCAATATTAGGCTCTGGAATAGGAAACAGACTTTGATTTGTCTGCATAATAACCCCGCAAAACAATTTTATCTTCAATAATCTTATGTAAAAGAGGCAACCCAAATGTATTTCATTGCCTTGTGAAAACAGTACAAAAAAATCTCATTGCACATGCAGTGGCAATACCCCTTAATGCACGATTTAGGAAAATGTAAAATATGCCCTGAAGGTTGGTTAAAAATTCAAATGATGGTATTGTTAACTGCTTTGCAGGAGGGAAAGGAAGTTGATTTCAAGGGAAGGCTCATAAGCAAAAAAATAGAAATAATAAAGTTCAGGCATTTCCTATGCATATATTTAACAGGAAAAGAGAAACGAGCAAGTGTCAGAGTAGATTGGAAGGGAAATAATTACTGTTGCACGGCTCAGCAGGAGAGCAGCTCCAGTTTGAAGAACAGAACAGAGAAGAAGACAGGGAGTCTGTTGTCTGTCCTCTGTACATATTTTTGATCTTAAATAAAATTACATGCTGAATGAGTCAGGGAGCAGACATCAGAGGCTTGAAAGAGAAATTCCAGTAGTCATCTGCTGAGAAGAAGGAAAACAGAGCATGCTGCTTCAGAGCGACAGATGTACACAGCAGCAGCAGCAGCAACAAACAATGGACCTGAATTGATGCTGGTTTGGGTGGAACTGGTGGCCTCCTGGTCTCTGGCATCAGACTCCCAGTGTGCTGTGCTGGAATACTTCTGGTGGTTGACTCAGTGTAGAGCGTCTCTCTCGTAGGATGGCTACTGATCTCTATTAAGGTGTTCTCCAGCTCTCGAATCGTCTCCTCCAAACTGTCCAGCCTCTGGTAGGTGCTGAATCGGACCTCCTGTGTCATCCTCCTCTGACTTGGTGAGCCTCCTTTAGAATCACAATTACTTTGCTGTATTCTGACGTCATCAGCATGCTGAAACTTTAGCACGTCATCCCCTGTTTCAATCCCTCTTCTTAGAGCCTCCATTAGGGATTGTTGCTGGGTGATTTGGTGGGAGGATCTTAATCTCGGTTTAGGAACTGGATTGGATGACTCTAGAAGGGAATACAGCAGTCTGTATGTATCTCTCAGTGTATTTCCCCCCCTGAAAACTATAAGAACAGGCCGTTCATTCAGCTGTGCTTCAGAAATGTCCTTATTCTGCGCTGAAACAGTTAGAGTTTTAAGGTCTATCCTCTTCAGTTCCTGAACTTCGTGAGGAGACACCCATCTCATCTCCATGTCTGTCAGAAGCAGCGAGATTTCTTGGTCTTGTTTGAGAACATGTTCGCTTCCCTCTGAAGATATTCCCCTTGAAAGCACATTCTTGTGGACCATAAGTTGATTGCACAAATTGGGTGCTGGATTATTTTGTACAGGGTAATTTGCTAAATCTCTGACAGGATTTTCTGCAGTAGTGAGTGAGTCTGGCAAGCATTCTGTCAACACGATGTGGGGGACTGGAGATAAGTTCCTTCCCTATAAATAAAGAAAGCACTTAATATATAAATAGAAACACATGAACTAGTTAAACCTCTACAAAAAAATGTAAGAAAAACTTTACAAACTTGACAGATATGACAAAAACTATGCATATGTATGCATTTATAGATAATTAGCATACATGCACAAGTAGGTTTGGGACCTAATTACAAAAATCGCATGCAAGGGAAAAAGGTGGGAAACAGGATAGGTTCATTTGCTCTAAATCCAATAATACTAAATGTAGCAGGTTGATGCTCCCATAAGGAAAATTATTTTTGTTCCCTACTTCCTCAACTGGGTGTCTAAATGTCATGGATTTTCTGCACATCCAGCTGCACACAATTCTTTCCACACTTATCAGCACCCATAGTAGAAATGTCTGAAACAGTTATAAAAATAATCATGTATTTTATTGTATTTGGTATGCTGTCAAACTGAAATATTTAGAAAATTTCAACATTTAATTGGATTTTTTCTATAAGAAGTGACTGTTTTCAATAAGGTTGCTGGTGCCAATCTTATTGAAAACCACTTTTGTCAATACATGGTACGACCCACTTTATTGGTATAAAATTTCACAACCTGAACACACAAAGAGCTAAATAGAGCCAACTATGATGAGTCATAAATCTCAAAACAGAATTAATCATAATATTAATTCTTTATTTGTCCTTCAATCAGGAAATTCTGTTTTAGAGAACACAGTGGATCTGGAAAACACTGAATTTAAAAATTTACCAAAATTTGGATTGTTGCTTAAAAGTTTTCCAGGTATTTAATCGGATCTGAACAAAAGCTTTTGAAAGTTTAAGGTAGCAATTATCCTCTTGTTTTCATCACAATTCATCCACTTTAGGCTTGAGTTTGGAATAATAATGTTTTGACACACATTTATTCGTGATATCTTGCGATAAATTATGACACAGTCTGGTAGATACAATTAGTGCACAGTCACACATAATAATTATCAGTTAAACCCTCTAATGAGTGTAAAGCTTGTGCAAAATGTTTTCAGGTTTTCTTGTTTGCACATGAATGTCGAAAGTAAATCAGCAGCAGTTGTGTGGCCATGAGGCTTAAGCCAAGAAGGTTAAAAGAGCATGCGGTCAAAAACTGAGCAGTAGCTTCAGTGAAGGTAGTTAAGAAGTAAAAGAGACATAGGGGAACAATCCAGACTGTTCATGGCCAGCCAGCGTGTTACCTCAGAGGCCTCAAGAGGGGACACGTCTAGCCTGGAGGGGGAAGTGTTTTTCCTGATGTGTGGACTAATGGGGAGGAAAAGTGAAGTGGGGCGAGAGAGCCTGACTGGGGCTCTCTCAAACAGCTGGGGAGGCAAAACGGAGGTTAAAAGAGCATCACGGTAACAAGACAACACCCACTGAAAAATCCAAATCAAGTGTTATTAAGTCTTTGTTGCATCAAGTTTCCAGGCAGCCCATCTTAAACACAGAACACACAGCTCTCGGGGTCCATCTGTCTATCTGTGAGTCCTGGGTGATGATGTGTGCGACTGAGCATTATGCGATCTTTGGGCTTTCTCGGTGCCAGGGGCAGGAGGGACATATGGCACCTGCTGCTTGAACATGTGGTAATGATGATGAGCGTATCTGCAAATGCCCTTAGAGTGTGTATGTACTCTTGCAACCCCTTGGCACTTTGTCGATGTCAGGTTCATAGCTATAAAGTGCAGTTTGGCCATTGATTGAGCAACATTATTGCGATTAAAGTACAATGAAATTGATGTACAATCCATATTTCATTTACCTCAAGCTCGGCAGCGATCTTTTCCTCCTCTCCTTGTTCCTTCTCTCCAGAGGCGAGCGTTGGGGGTGTCGATGCAGGGCGAGGGTTTTCGGACATGGTCCTCCTCAGTTTTATGTGAGGCTTTTGAGTGTCATTCTCTTCAGATTCTGATTTCTAATGAAACAAAAATGATTAAAACATGATGTAAAAGAGCAAAGTGCAAAGTCCTAATGAACAAAAAATATTCAGCAAATGAACAAATTAGTTTTCATAAGAATGTATTGATTTGATGGTTTCTTTCTCTTGTACCTTTATGCTTTTTCCAGGAATTAATGGCTCTCCACTGCGAGATGTCACTCCTGGAGATGAGGGAAAACTACGTCTAGGCGGAGGAGGAGGAGGAGACTTAGACGGTTTTTCTGTGCGATATCGTGGTACTGTCAGCTCATCTGGAAAAGTGAAAAAACAAAAACAAAAAAAAAACATGACAGTGAAGCTTATAAATTAACAAAACTGGTTGCAGTAAATATTGTGATTCAGACTTTTGAAAGTCGCAGCCTTACCAGAGCCACGCCTGGAACCCCCCTCTTTTGCTGAAAGCTTGTTTTGTGGCTTGCTACTGCGGTGCTCTGTTGTTGACGCCGCACTCTGAGGGTTCTGAGCTGATGGTGTGTTGGAAGAGGGCTTGATCTGCTTGGCAGCAAAGTCCAGGTCTGGAATAGCCTTCATCAGCTCGGCCTGGGTCTCCTCCAGCAGGCGGTTGATGTCCTGAGCACTGTACTGTGTAAGACTGGCCCGCTTCTCCTCCCAGTCCCGCTCTGCCGCCTGCAAAGTGAATGATGGTAACCAGAATAGTGTTGTCTGAGGCCTGTTTCACATCAGATTGGGACTGCCAGATGGCTATCAAAATCTCCAAGACCAATCAAATGTTACTGGATTCCAGCAAATTGGGAAAATTGAATTTCAGCGTGAAAGCAAATCTATAGATACTGAAATTTCAGTACTGGCCAAATAGGTTTTTAGCTGGAGCTTCCTTGGCTGTCCTGTCACAATGGACATGGGTGTCACATCTGCACACTGCATGTAGCAACTTTTAATAATTTGACGCTTTTTGTTGCTCAGCCAAAAAGTATATTTTCATAGGAAATGAGAAAGGCCTCTCTCAAAAGAGAGAAGATAAGTAATGTTCTTTTTTAAATCATTTGATTAAAAAAATATCATGTAGAGAATTATTTATAACATTCAAATTAATCAGTGGAGAAATATTTATTCGCATTACAGCTAATAAAGTAGTCTTATAATTGATGATTGGATTTTTGCACACATACACAACTATCAGTATTTTTATTAACCCACCAGCAGCATAAGAGGATGTTTTCTGTGCAGCATTCAGTGTGCCATGTTGTGCAATAATTTTAAATTGGCACAGTGCATATCTTGACAGGGGCAGTCAGAAGGAATCAAATTCCAAAAGGTTTATGTTTTTCCACCGATCACCATGAGATGATACCCCCCAAGTCACACTAAGCTGAGTTGCACTTAACACAACAAAAATAACATACTAAGGCCTATGGGCCACGGCTTGTGCTTTTCCTCCTTATCCTCCCTGACACCAGTATTTTTCTTTAACAGCATGACAAATACATTTTGCATTAGCACTGAAGCCTTAAGCTTTTCCTCTTTCTCTTGTCAACCTGATATATGTGCAATTTTGAGGTGTGTGTGCGTTTTATCCTTCTGGGAGCCTTAATTCGTGCAGGTATTTGGTGTAGGTATTCATTTATTCATTGGAGAGTGTGGATTATTTGTTTCAGCTATTTGGTAAAAACTTTTTTTACTGCCAGAGTACTGACAAGATCCCATGTGGATAGCAGTGTCAGCGCACATATTCTTAAGCCGTAAACAAACTCTCCATGGCCGCTCATTTTTTAAATTCTCTAAAGACCAAATAACACAGGTATATGAAGGACACACAGATAAGCAGACACCGCTGGAACAACTTCCACCAACTGTTTTGGGGTGAAATGCATTTTAGAGAAATAAAGAAAAATGTAACTAAAGAAATTGCCCTACCAGTCGGACTTCCATTGACAAAGCTTTGTCAGCGGCAGCCCGCCGCTCCAGCTCCTCCAGGGCTTTGCCTTTGTGAGGAATAGGAGGATGATTGTCCTTATGAGGACCGGACGGGTTTCCGAGACCACGGCTGAGGCTCGAGTGAGGGCTCCAGTTAGACAGGCTGTTACCTCCTCCAATGTCATTGATAGTTAGCGGTGGACTGGTAGGAATGTCAAAACTCGAAAATTTTTGCAAGTCGTCATTGTGCTTTGATGAGGGGCTAGAAAAGTTGTCCTGCTTTTTCCAAACCCCTTCATTTGCTTGCCTGGCAAGACAAGGAAGAAGAAAAAAAATCCTTAATCAAGCCTGTGAAATGTTCCCTTTAAACTTGAGTGTGACAAGATTAATACTGAGAATAATTAAGATAATTAAGAAGCTTTTCAGGACTAAACCTGATAAGGAAATCTCCTTCACTCTTCATAAAAATCACAACGCATATTTATGAGAATAAAAATAGCTTTGAAAGTACTTTCAGCTGGAATTTATGATTACTGGATGCTTCTTTCCCTTCAAAGTTTGGAGTGTTATTTCTTCAAAACAAATTATTATCAATGAAACCTAATAAAATGCATTCAAATCTGCATTTAGTGGCATGAAAAAAGCATTACTGGATGCTTCTTTCCCTTAAAAGTTTGGAGTCTCCTGATTTTGCTATTTGACATGCTTAAATATTTCAAATCAGAGTGAAGTTTTTTTTTCAGAATATATCAAATTTAAGGGAGATGTCAAAACTTACTTCAAACTGTTTACTGAGGAAAAATAAACTGTCCAATCCAATCTTGCGCTATGTGTAAATATAACTGCCCTCTAGTTAACTCATCCTTGTGATTAACCATATTTATTTGGTTTGGTTTCCATAGACAGATCACTTCTAGAAGAAAGCTAAAAGATCTCAAGAAGCAACACATTACGTTCTGATCTAAGGAAATCCAAGAAGAGAAGAGAAACATAGTCATCAACATCTATCAGTCTGAAAAGGGTTACAAACCCATTTCTAAGCCTTTGGGATGCCAACGAACCACAGTGAGAGCTATTATCCACAAATGGAGAAAGAATGAAACAGTGGTGAACCTTTACTAAGCTGGCTTAACCAATCCTACCACAGAAATCTGCAAGAGGGAAACACTTCTTCACATCACTGTATCGGCTTGCTCGACACTTCAGTCTGAACCTAAAGCTGCCAAATGTGCTGTTCTCCACCTTCAGAGGAGTTTCATACTTGCGCATTGTGGCGAGGGTGTCAGTTATAGTCTTGCAGCGTTTTAACAAGGCATCTAGTCTGTGCGGCTCTTCTTTGAGGAATTTCACAGCTTCCACCTCCACCCGCAACACCACCCGCATCTTGCTCTGCAGGCTCGGGAATTGATCTGTAGAAGAAAAGCAGAGGAGCGACACAAAACAGGCATGCTTTTACAAAACACCTCTCAAGGATAACGAAAGCTTTTCAAGTTAATTAAATGTCCCACGTTTTGAGCTACTGCAAATGGTCAGCAAGTTCATTCATACAATGGGCAACGCGAGAGCGATTAAACGTTGCAGACTGGCTGCGGGTGACTAAAAGATAATCAGCGCCTCAGTGAGTAATTAGTGGAAAATAAACTGACTACTAGACATAATGACTGTTTTCTGTGTTGTGCAGTGCACAGTGTGAGGGATGTGCCAGCATGACTCACTTTTCAACTCTGTGAGTGTTTCTCCCAGCTTTCTCAGAACTGTAGCCTTCTCCTCCAACTCCTGCACTGTCACCAGCTTGTGGTTGACAGACGACTCCTTCTGGATCTCCTCCACTGATTTCTCCAGGTCACTGAGACAGAACAAACAGAAGGTTGAGCATCAGGGATTTTTCTTTTATGATCAAGTTGTATTCAAATTGAAACTTGATCACATCAGAAATGTGTCGATTAATCTGCTGCCAATAAACAGCCTGTTCATCAACTAGATATGGACAGCTGAACTGAAGGAGTATGCAGTGGTATCTGAAAAGCTATTTGCATAAACTGTGACTGAAAAAATAGGTCAATTATGTACCTATCATATCTTCAAGAGCACAGACTTTATGCAAATATGAAATTATAATGCTGTTATGTTAACTGCAAGGCCAAACAGCATTCCTTTATTAAAAGCAGAGTAGGTAATGAATGAAAGCAGGTGGCTACATTTGGTGTGGAAGAAAAACAAATACTGATTAACAAAGATCTCCAAGAGTTCAACCAATTATTCAGAAATGTGCAATGATTTAGGGGCTTAGCAATTCCACATATAAAACCGAAGCAACTTACAATATCTGATGATTAAATCTCAAGGTAGCTCTCACTCTCATCTTTGCAGTCATTCTAATTAGTTACTGGACAGCTATGTATTTCAGATCTTAATAAGCATCTTGTCCATTGTCTGGCTTAATTACAGTTAAATTTCTTCATATCACAGAGTCATTCTATAATTCATTAAGCTGCAAAAGCTGAACTTTTCTCATATCTTACATAACAATCCATGTCTGACATATAACTTTTGCTACATTTCAAATAGAATAGAGGACAAAATCACACATTGTTGCCACATAAAAATGCAAAATATAAACTTTCCATTACAGAACAAAATACTGATACAAAGTTTTTGGATTTAGACAGTAAGTTGTTTTAATAATCTTATGTGACTGACTGGAGCTGCTGGATGATGAGTTCTTCTTCGTTGAGGTACTTGAGTCTTTCCTCCTCCACAAGGAGGCGTTGTCTCTGCAAAGGATCTTCTTGCTTCCGCAAGGCATCTGCTACGCGTACGTTTAGCTCAGCCTCTGTCCGTTTCAGCAGAGTTCGCACTGAATCCTGGTTCTCCATCTACACACAAAAAAACACATTTAAAATCAACATAACAGGAAGACAAGAATGCTCCCAAACCTTGCAAAGTATTGGACTGTGCCTTGTATAAGTATTCACAACCCTTGGATCAATTTTATACCTACAATAAATTTTACACCAGTAGACCCTGTTTATTTACATGGGGAATTTCGAAGGTATTCAGATGCACTTGAGTTTATTTAGGGGTGTCAGAATAAGGGGGATTAAAAAAGAAAACTTTTTTTTTTCATCCACTTAGTCATTTCTGTGGTGGTCCATAACTTCACACACCCCTCCTCCCTCCATCAAAGTTCATTGTTGTAGCCTAATATAGGTTGACAAAGTTAAAGTTGTTGGAATTATTAACAGTTTATGTTGCTAATCTTCAAACACAAGACATTATTAAGGATATAAATTCTGCAGCTGCAGAGAACATCATAAGTGCAGTGAGGAAAAAATAATTTATAAACTTTAGAATTTTGAGACTTTCACACTTGCTTTGCTTAAATTTTAATTTGCACAAAATATTTCTCCCAACAATAAGTTCAGAAGTTCTGAGAAAAACAAAGAATGCCCATGGCAGAATCACTTGAGCATGAACTGAGCTCCCTGTCTGTGTTATAAATGCAACATTCTGCAGGTCTGCTCCACGTAACACAACACCCCGGTTTGAAATCACCTGCTAAGCCAGAAAAAATTAATAATTTATTAGCCTTCTGTTTGAGCAAGACAACAGTATCACTAACATGCAGAATAACACTGTATTCCCAACTGCTGTATACTGCCAGCAGCTGCACTCATGTATACTCTGGAGTTCAGCAAAAATTTAAGTAAAAATATTTAATGCATTTACATGTTTTTAATCTTCCAGTGCGCTGCCTCGTCTCTAAATTTTAACTGCTCATCCTTTTCCTTGACTTTATGTATAATTCATATGCCTCATGCAAAATTGAAGCAGAAGGCCAGTGCCTTGGGCAACAACAGTAACCCAGGTGTAGAGGTCATACACATGCAAACAATAAACTTTCCTCTCTGTGTACATCACAGCTGTAGCTGTTTTGCTGCTTAACAACTTCAAGAAATCCTTGTGATCGTTGTGGCGAAACAAATAGCAGCTCTGAAACACTCACTGTCTCTTACTCTCTTTTCTCTTTATTTCCTCTGCAAAGACACCAATCAAATCAATCTGTCCAAATCGCTTCAGAACACTACAAACTACAAGCTTAGCTTCGATATTGTACCACTGCAGCCCAAGCAAAATGGAATACCACTAATGTGCACTGCAGCAAAGTTTCTTGCAGGTGGTATTTACAATAGGTAGTACTGAAGTGAACATAAAAAGCTGAAAGTCGCCTGAATACTGCAGTAGCTCCATATCTATTGACAATATGGGAAATATGAGTACAAAGTCTTAACATTCATTCATTTTTATAGTAGCAACACGACCTCACACTGACAACTTCAGAAAATGAATCCTATGATAAGACCTAATTTTTTAAAAATGTTTCAGTTCATCAAAGAAATTTTAATAGCAGAAATAATTTTGGTCCAATCATCTTTGTAGGCTTGTTTTAAAAAGGCCTCATTAACAGGATTTTTGAGCCTGAACAGCCTGTTTGAGGTGATGCTGGGAAAAATCAAGCGTTCTTGTCAGGAAGATTTTCTTTTACTGAATCTTGCATTAGTTTTATGACAGAAGAAATGGCCTGCTTTGAAAAAGTTCCACTTTTTGACTCGTCAGCAGCGCTTTCAGTCTTGGAATTCCCACTTGGACGCCATTTCTGCCCAGCATATTGAAATCTGGATGTTGTTCCAGATTTCATCTAAAATATATTGATATTTTTATAACGTTTTCATAAGTGAAAGCCAAAACATTAAGTTCCAAAACAGCGAGGAACTTAATGAAAAAGTAACCTCATGAGTAATTTGTGATATTTTGAAGCAATTTACAATCTTCTGGATTCTAAACACTACAATTGGTCTGAACACTCAAAAAAAAAAAAAAGAGGACTCTGTTTACACTTATCAAGATATTGTGTATTTGCTATAAAATGGTTGACTTCAAACTAAAACAGCTTTGCTGATTCCTCTGCAAAATCTACAAAGCCTGCTTTTCCACAGGCCACTTCCTCAGTGGAAAGTTGTTAGCAAGGGGTGTTCACAAGACTGTGAATTATGCACAGTCATCAGAACATTGTCTCGGGAAAGACTTGTAGCTGATGAAACTTTTATGTGTACACTTGTATTGCTTTGAGCTGCACATAAAATTTAATATTCCTCCCTGTCACTTTGAAAGATGATTATTTATAATGCTCTATCTTTCTCTCTGCAAAGCTTGATTCATTAAAGTTCAGCTAATATAACCCCAATAACCACTTAGGTCATATCCTAGGACTGTGTGAACTAAGCTGCAAGTTTTTAGACTGTATTCATTTAAGTGTCTGGGAAGGTGACAATTTCCTTCCCACGATCCCGTAGGATTTCAGGAAGTGCAAGAACAAGATGTGTTTATGCTAATGAAATGCAATTCATAAAAAGATCTGTGAGGTAGATACAGATATCTGTATCTAACAGAGTCAGCAGAGAACACAGCTGTCGGCTCCAATAAGCTTAATATATACTCAGCCAGCAGATGCTTAGAGTTGTGTTTATGAATGCCAAGTGTAATTTCCTGCAACGGCAAACTAACAAGGATTCCAAATGGTAAAAAAAAAAAACAAGTATAAAATGATAAACTAAAGCCAATCAAAGCAGCTTGCCTCACCCTTAACATGTATTTTCCAGCTTTGCTACAGATCCTCTGTCCTAAACTCAAATCTTTTGCACTTTTTAACAGATTATCTTCCAGGATTGTTCTGTTTTAACTACATGTTCACATAAACTTTCATCAATTCCCCGATGCCTGATGATGAAAAGCATCCAGACAGCATGACGCTGGTACAACCATGTTTCAATCAACAAAATCTCATAGTGTTTGTGAATGACATTTGGAAATGGGATTTTATTATCATGCATTAAAGAGAATGAGAATTTTAACATAAGTTTTCCAAATTACATGGCAATATCTCTAAGGTACATATCTTCAGGAGTGAACAGGAAAGCGTTTCTGAAATAGATAAACTGTTTAAACTTTAGATACCTGTATCTTGCGAAGCTGACCGAGCTGTTTGCGAAGGTCGGTGGCATTTTGCTGCAGACCGTGCAGATGGAGTTTCATCTGCAGGCGACCCACACCGTTCACCGGGGTTGTGTTAGATGGCGGTGGTGGCATCAGAGCTAAAGGTGCTGACGGCGTGTTGGCTGCTAATCACAAAGCAGGATATTGGGGGATCATTGGGAAACAATTCTGTTAGTTCGTTAAGCAGCGCTCCAGTTACATTTCAGATACAATATGAGCAACACACACACTCTCAGCATAAATACCCAAATAAATACATCTATATAGAGAGTAGGTCTGGGCACACGCACGCTTTATCCAGTGTGAAAAAGCAACAAAAACCACCATATTCACAAAACTCTAGTTGTATATCGGGTAAAAAGTGAGCTCATGCTATTAGTAATCGGGGGAGAAGTTCACTGTCTGTTTAGTTGGGACACACAGGGATGTGAACGCTCTTATCTCAACACAGGGCTTTGTGAGTATGGCCATCAATCTGCCATTTATTTGACCACACATACACACTCGCAAACAAGTGTCTAGTGTGTGACAAAATAAACTTCTGAAAATTCCCAAACAACCAAGCAAAGAATCCAAGAATTAGAGACACAAGGAGAGGAGTCCGCTTTCCGGGGAAAAAAACAGCCAGGAGGAAAACATGAGAACAGAGACTGCTGGTTTTTCAGCAACACCAACACCCATACAGAGGGCAGAGAGTCATGATGAATGTCTGACAGAAGAAATAAAAAAAGGATGACAGGAGGAGGAGATGCCAACTACCTTTCTTCTTCTGACGTCCAGCTGGAATATAGAAAGAGTGAGCCAGTTACCAAGAAATTAATGAGGAGGGATAGAGACAAAAGAAAGAGGAGAGTCTTCAGATTTTATATTTGAAGAGGGATGAACAGGGAAGATTTCTACTGATTACAGCAGAGGAAGGGACTGTGGAGGTGCCTTAGTGTTTTGGCACTGCACCAATTTATGAGGAAGATTCAGACGCATTTAAATCTTTGAACTGAGTCCATGAAGATCTAAGCAAAGATTATCTGTGTTTGAATAAGTCGGAAAAATTATAGGAAGGAGAAAAAATAACTTAAAAAGGACAATAACTGATCTAATCCATGCTACAGATGCTGACAAGTTATGAAATTGTCATTTTTAAGTTCAATAACCATCTAAAATAAATAATTCCACACAGAGTGAGTTAACTATTTCACAGCTGTGTCTGTTTTCAAACCTTGCCTAGAGGGTTATGTTTACACTTTTGAGGATTTGCTTGCTTACTTAACACATTTGAAACAGCTCCAAAGGTGTTCAAGAGTATTTTTGAGATTTCTAACAGCCTTGTTTTTACTTTCCTTGTGCATCTAATAGGGTATTTCAATATTCAGTGGTGAACAGGTCATTTTGGAGAATGACCGACAGAAAAATAAAAGGAGTTAATAGCAAAAAAAAAGTCTTAGTCGGAAATGTTGTGGGTTTTTTCTTGGAGTTAGTACTGATTAGAGATTTGATTTTGATCCAAGTGAAGATTTAGGAAAGTCTAAATACTCTTGTTTTTTTAAAGCCCTCGTTTATTGTCTTTTTGGTAAAGTAAATTTTAGACCACAAGATGATAATGTAAATAAGTACAATTTTAAATGTAAGCAAGTGAAATGATCAAATGTATTTTATAGTGTTTAGCAAAACATTAAACATCCTTTAATTTAGCACAGAATGGTTCTACTTAAAGTTAAAATTGCTGTTTACAGCCATTTCTTAGATATCTTATGCTTTGCACCATAAGAGGCAACCCATTTTTCACTGACTGGCCATGAAATTGAGCAGTGGAAAACTTTCTTGGTCCTTTGTGCAACTGCCAGCACTTCTGCTTTGAGGAGAGTTGTTTTAGTCACATTCAAAACTAATAAAATAGAATAATTTTCACCTTTACTAGCTTCACGAGGCTCACTGATATTGACATTTGAAAAAAATGCTGCACCGGAAAACAGGAAAGGCACAATTTTCCATTTTCTCAGACTGAGAACATAAAACAAGAAAATTAAAACCAACAAGTAGCTCAGCAGTGTTGTACCCCATATCAAATCTTGCCCGTCTTCCCACATTGAGAGCATGGACAAATAGGCCTGGAGATCAGCATCACTGCAGAGTATGCATTCAGTATTTTTGGAGCAGAGTTAGCAAGAACATGCGTATAGGCATGGCAACGGAGAAACAGGAGTGTTAGTAACACTTCAATTCGCAGATCTCGATTACTATGCTGTACTCACTTCCAGTGGCGGAGCCGTCACTGTTAGTTTCGGTCTTCTCGCTGGAAGAGAAAGGTAATGGCCGTGAAAACTCCGTCCCTTGGTCTGGAGGGCAGCCCGCCATCATGCAGAGACGCAGTAGGCCGCATCTGAGGATCAACGGCCACAGGGCAAGGCAATTACAGAGCTAATGCTCAAAGCACCACTACCGGATATGATGAAACTTCTCACATTAACTCAGTTATCTTCTAGTAAATAAACTCCTGGTATGTACATGAACAGAGATAGCTTGACATAGTTAATGTAAAAAGCTGAAAACTCTGTGAATCCGACAGCAGATCAATAGCACAGCTGCCTGCAGCTGATGGTTTAGTGGTCTGTACTGGACCTGTGCTCGCGCAATACCTCACTACCATGGAGCTGGTAATGGCTCTGATAATAGCCTGCCGCTGTTCCTGTCAATACTCCTGCTTATGTGTCAAATCTGAGGCTGTATTTGTGACTTTTAGAGGGTTAATGGGGTCTAATAGAGGGTCTTACGTGCTGTCGCTGTCTGGTGCCCTGGTCAGTACACTCTGCACGAGGCCCGTCAGGCTGGCTATTTGCTTCTCCATGGCCTCCATACGCTCCAGGCGGTGATCCCTGAAAAAAATACATAATGCTTATAAAATTATAGGCACAGGCAGATTACAGTGGAACAGTCAATGCTTCTGTGAAAGGCTAATTTAGAAAATGTCTTATAGTTGAAGACATTCAGTGAGCTGTTCCAAATGAGACTGACCTGCTTGTGTCTGCGTCTTGTCCAGATAAAGAAGGACCAAAACCAGGCTCTGAACTGGAGCTGGGCCTCGACTTCGGGCTTTCCACAAACACAGAGGAGGAGGCAGAGTCTTTCCGGAAAGTCTGCCTGACAGGCGAGGGTCGTGGTGAAGTGGAATACGAGTCCCTGTCCCTCAGCTGCATGTCAGGGATTTTTTGTGGGGACGAGGGCGGCATGCGGAACCCCATTCCCAGGGTTGCAGAGGAGTACGTGTCCGAGTATAGTGAACCTCCAGGCTTGTAGAATGAGTCCTCCAGGTCTCCCTGAAGGGCAGCGGCAGAGTAGGTGCTAAGAGAGCGTACGGACCCTCGCCGGTAGAGGCCAGTGGTAACAGGGTAGCTGAAAGGGTCTCCAATGGCAGCCAAAGACTGGGTGGAGGCAATGCTGAGGCGACCCTCATTCATCAAACTGTAGGGATCAGCATACAGTGCCTCATTTTTCATCAGAGCCAGCTTTTTTGCAGAAACTTCTTCATCTGGTTTGACATCACGGCGCTCCAGGATGGCACTTGGTGATGGAGACAGACCCATGTTGGCACCATGGCCACCTGGAGGATGGTGGGGATGTCTGGGCTGCTCGTGTTGAGGATGGTTTCCGGAGAAGGAAGGAGTACGCCCCCCGCTGTAAGAGAGGCGAGAGCGGGACGGAGAGCCAGAGGGTGCCGAGGTCGAAGAGGAAGGAAGAGTGTTGAGGCGGCGCGTTGGGGAAGATTCCCGAGATGAGTAAACCATTTCTCTCTGTAAGAAACAAAATAGTTGTTAGGATGGCAGCCATTAGATGATAGGGATGTGAACTACCCTACCAGAGACATCAAAAATTGCTGAGAAACTTCTCAAAAAGCAAAGCAAAGACAGAAAGTACTGCCATTGCAACACAAACAGCATAAACTTTTGTCTAAAAAGTAAATGCTCAAGTCTAAATGTGGCTGAAAGTTAGTTGGCATTGATCAAATGAGCAAAACAAACTTGAACTTTGCTCTCTTAAGGCAAAATTAAAAAAGAATATATTAAAAAAATCTAATTTTCAGCATATTTCTATTGAATAAGCAGACATAAGGACATAAGCCCATAGAAAAAATGTTTATGGACATCCAGTCTTTTGAAAGGGACTGCTTTGAAAGCAATACAGCCCAGCTTCAGCCAGCATCTTTACAAGGCCTTTTGCTCTTTTGCCATGGAGTTGTTCTGCAATTTTTACAACAAAATACCTGTATCTATGGGACAGAGAACCTGCTTTCTTTCTGAAGGGTAATAATAATTACAAGCACTGTAATCTTACAGTAAGACAAAATCTACTGTCCTTAACTCATATTTTCCTTTCTATTTTCTTTCATTTCTATCACACTGGTTACCAATGCTTTCAATCAGGTGTGGACAATGAAAGTCCATCCAACTGCCTGAATATAGGATTTGCAATATCTTAGTCTACCAAATACTGCGTGTAAACAGTCCCTTGCGACTGCAATATTGCACATATTGATATTGCAATGAGGACTGTGATTCAACATATTGTGCAGCTTTAGAAGCAACATAATACAATATTCTCAAAGGAACCCACTACTCTGGTATTTAGCAAATAGAAATATTTTGTAATCCTGACTTTCTAAAAACAGGAAAGGTTTTGTTTGGTTTAATATCAGACAATAAGAAAAAAAAAAGAACGTGTCTTTTTAAGCACTGCATGTAAATATCTTTTCAACTGTTTTTACTGCATCAAATGCACAAAAAGCTGCTGATGTAATCACCTTTGAAAGGGGACTTTAGTTATACATCAGCTATCAGTTAAAGGTTTGTGTTTTCTCATCTTTTAATATCCCCTTTAGAGTGCTTTTCATGTACACCTCTCATTTTTGATTTTCCAGTTGATATAATACAATATTGGATGGATAACTATATTAGAAGCTTAACTCTCTCGCTGACAGTTTTGTTTCTCTGAATCTGAGCTCACAATATCACACACAGAGAACATCAGCTTTCCACTACCAGAGACACAATGATTTGTAATCAGATTAAGTTGGAGTATCTATCCAAATGTATTCATAGTTCTTCCCTGTCTGTCAGCCATTTCTTTACCCCATATCTGCTCCAAATAGATGGAAGAATGAGTGTAAGCATTGCCACAGCACAGTGTAAGTAAACAGAAACACTCTTCAGTGTTTTTTAATAGCATTTGTATTCCCAGTTCAGGGTGAATAATGCAGATGGTAAGCAGAGTTTTGCATCAATAATAGTTAAAAAAAAAGTTCTCCCTCAGGCTGCTTTATCTTTACTAAAGGAGAAATCATTTCAAATGTTAAAATATGCTCATTTTACAGGGGAACATGTTCTCTCCTGCCTGCACAGCAACAGATGGCCTATTTGAAGATGAAAAAATACATTTCCGACGGGAAAACATGTTCCATTGCTAACCCCCAATACATTGCGAAAGTCTGCAAAGATACCGTTCTCAAAAACAGCAAAATTTATCTTCCAAAGAACTCTGCTGCAGCGCCGACTTCACAGTATAACAGGGGTATTCAACACTAATTGCCCTTCCCACCTCTCAGGTCTCTTCTGCTTACCCGCAGGTCTCCGTTAGCCAGGTGTGCAGCCGCAGGGTAAGAAGCATAGATGGGTTCTTTGCGGTAAATCTTGATGATGCTACGGTCCTGAATATCCCGGACGTCCTCCAGCTCGTAGAAGACGTTTCGGGCCTCGTCTTTGATTAGGATCGCAGTGTTGGGTGACTTCAGCATTCCCGCCGTCAACTTCTGAGGGAACATGTGCACGATGAGAGCGTGCAGCGTGTCCATGCTGCTCAGCTCGTGGGTGATGTGAACCCGACGTGTCTCATCTCCATACTGCAGGAAGAGCACGCCTAGGAGAGAGTTGTGGGGGAGAGATGGTTGAGTCAGAAGTGTTTGGCTTTATTAGATGGGAGAATAACCAGTGGAGACATATTTTGCGAACTGTGGTGTTGGTTGTGATCCACAAATTCTGATTACTGGTACCAAAAAAAAAACTATGGCGACTTTCTGGGCCTCATATTTAAACCTTCTGAATACTTTCTCATGTCATGTTACAGTCATAATTTTATTCGATTTTTGGGGGATTTTATGTAATAAACCAACACAAAGTTGCTCATTTTTGTCAGAAATTAATAAAAACAAATAAGAGCAATTAATCATGTTTAAAAGTCACCCAATTGCTAAATAGACTTCATATGTGTGTAATTAAATCCTGTTGTTCTGTACAGTAGTTTTGAGGAAGCTGCAACGATCCACAGCTCAGATATGAAAAGTTGTCAACAGGTCAACTATTAATTGCGCACTTCACAAATCTGGCATTTGCAGAGAAGTTGCAAAAAAGATTTGCTGATGGAAAGTCATAAGACATTTAATTTGCAGTTCTGGTCACAGCATGTCACAAGTAATGCAGGAGTCACAGCAAATGTGTGATAAGAAGAAGCTCTTATCAGATGAGCTCTACTCATCTCTACTTGTAATGAAGACAACACATCCTTCCAGAAACAGCCTTTTGTAACCAAACGCATCACACTGTGGGCACACTCCTCCCGAGTAAGGAACTGAAGAAAACCTGACAGACCACGTTGAGTTGGTCCATCTTATAAAATCCCAGTAACATGTAACATGAGAAAATGGTTCTATAAAAGCAAAAATCACAATTTTGGAAACTACTTGAGAACTTTTGCACTGATTAGTGAACATTTAGATATATAGAAAAAATAAAAATAATTAGTTACATTTTAACAATATTTTAAAATGCAGAGTGTTTTTTTTTTTTTTTACATAAGCAGCAGTAGGTAAAGTTTGTGAAAAAAAAGAAGAATGTTTTGTTAAAAGATGTGTATGATGCCTGACTAACCTGAAAATTCATCTTCATACACGAAGGGACAAACAAAAACAACAACAAAGGAAAAGAAAAAGGAATTACAAATGGGGCAAAAAATAATACTTTGTATAAACAAGTCATAGAGAAAAGAAAAAAGACAGGTATTAGTAGAGACAGAGGAAAGAGATTAGCGTTTCTCCTAAACACCTTAGTCTTTCTCATTCGTTCACTGTTACAAATAATGACCATAGTCCAGAATGACTAAACTCTGCAGACTTTAATATCCATATGACAAAAATAATATTTGGGTTTTTCTTGTTACCAATTCTCCTTGATATTATTACAAACATTAGATCACAGTCTGTAACAGTAAGAGTATTAGTGTTAGTAATTTACAGTGTCTAATCAGGAAAACTTACACTTTTATATATTTAGAAACACTCATTTGACTGTTTTATGTCTATGCAGAAGGGCAATTAAACTAGGGAAACATTTCATGGTGAAAGCACTGAGAATATAACACCTCCTCCCACTATCTAACAGGAAAGTGCTTCACAGCAGCAGCAGCAACGTGAAGCAAAGAGAAAGCTGTAAAATCTGCCTCGAGTTCTACCAGCCTGTTGAGACGGGTCATGCCAGGATTGCCTCGGAATCATTACCTGGAGATCTTAGCTTATTCTGGCTGGCAGAACGAGACAGTGGCAGGCTCTGGCGGAATCGGTTCATCCTGTTGAACCCGAGGGGCATGTCAGCTTCTGACATGGTCTCCAGGGATTCGGCGGAGGCAAAGGAAAGCTTGGCTGCCTGGTCCGCAAGTCCGGACTGGGTGGACTGGGAATGGCGTGGACTGCGACTCTGCAGGACACACAGAGGCATGTGTGAATTCAGTGAGAGGTGAAACTGTGGTAGAAAAAATGGATTTGACAAGGCTGATGTCATAAGACCAACTGGAAGAGACAGGGAGCACACACAATGAGGGATAACACAATAAGCCAAGTAATGAGATTATTCAGACCTTGACAATGGGTTTTAGCTACCAGCCATTCACTGACAATTGCTTGCATCACAGTTTATAACATCAGAAGAATGACATATAAAATGCATTATAGTGTAGAGGAACTCTTTCCTCTTGAATTTATCAGCGTCAAACTGTGTATGCAACCTGACAAAAGTTACTCTGTATTCTTCACTTCACATCCACATCCATTCATGGACCCCCTCATTGGTACTTGTCCCTGCGCACCTATGAACTTTTAAATGAGTTCTTGTGGGATGGGAGGAGAAGCTCATGTAAATCCCAGGCTCTCACTGTGGGTTTATCCTGCTGGCTTACGCCCAGGCGTCTCTCTCTCTCTCTCTTTCTTTCTCTCTCTTACACTTTCTCTCCCAAAGACTGTTAGCTCGGCTGAGGCTGAGCTCACTGAACTGAACTCTCTGATTCCCCACCGCTGTAGCATTTCCTCCAGCTCAGAGGCTGCTGTAATGAGCTCCCCGAATGCTGTCTGCTGATTGTTTTCACGGAAGAAGCAGACACATCCTCAGCCCACAGTTTAGTAGCAGTGCCTGTCTCCTTCTCTTTGAAGCATGAACACAACGGTTGTCACCTCGTCCTTTCTCTGTTCAAGTCCAGCTGCTGCATGAACCTTCTGTGGCTTTCATATTGGTGCAACTTTTAATTAATGGGAGACTAACTGCAGTGACATGAAGGGTCATCTCTGCGCTCAGACTCAGAATAAAAAGTTTTTTTTTTCATGAAAAACCACCAAACCACAATGATCAAAGAAAAAAGATTAAGCTCAACTTTACTTTCACTTTAATATCAAGCAGCAGGGCAGACAGTTTGATGTAGTCACTTATTACGATATAAAAATCATCTCAATCTCTTAAAAACAGCAAAGATAAAAAGGCATTATTTTGTTAAGTGTTAGTCAAGTCTTTCTGACATGATGATTCTTTATGCAGTAGATGATTGTTAAGGGTAAGATATGGATCAAGATAAGTGATCTGACTGATGCTCTATGACAACTGCTATGAAGACATATTTCTCATTTAGTATTTAGCTCTTTGGATTGTCAGTTTTGTCCTAAATCAGTTGCAATTTCTAAACTCAGAGGCGGCTCGTCCGTTTAAGCTGATTAGGCAGTGATTATCCAAAAGGATCCAGTGTAGTTTAAAGGAACTGCACACATTTTGACTTACCCTTTTCCTTTTTATAACTTCCTTTTTATTATACTTGTCCAGGACAAGTGTAGGAATAGCATTTTTTAACGTTCTGTGGCACTTGTCAAAAACTGAGTGATATTTATTTAATATCTGATTGTGCTAGGTTGACCTGGGAGTTACTAAACTCCGTCTGAAGCTTTAAAATCCATATGAAAGGCAGAAAAGTAACAGGAAAAAATGTGTTTCATTTTATGTAATGTACCATTATAAGATTTTCTTATGTCAAATGCTCTCATCTGCCCTGCTGCCATATTACAGGAAACCAAAGCAACTCTGCGCCCTGTTGTGGAAATACAAGCTGGTCGTTTTTTAAAATCCTCTATGTTAATTTTTGCATTGCTTTGTTGTCGGCTGCTTTAGACTGAAACTAATAGTTCGCTGTGGAATCTAAAACAAAAACAACAAGGAAACCATTTGTGCATTCTCTCGAGTAATAGCAATAAATACTTTTGACTGATATATTCTTTTTCTGAGTGCAAGTTGACTTCAACTACGTCATTATTACCAGCCATTTTGATATTGCTGGAAATAATGTCATAATGATATATTTTCTACTTTGGTATTTAACTAAATACAGTGAAAGGATGCATGTTTGGAGAATTGGTTGCACGTGACAAACTTTTTCTGAGGACATGCAAATGCATGTCAGATTTGTACAGTGTACCCCATAGAAAAACTGACACAGCATCCTATTAAATTTAATCTACACCAAGATTAATAAAATTCAGATTTGTTGTTATTGCATAAAGTAGGAAAATAGGAGATCAAGTTAAATAGTTTTATGCAACTGCTTTGGATAATGCTTTGCTTGAAAAGCATAGCTGAATTTACATTAATAGCAAAAAATAAAGTCCTATTCTTCTTCTGTGACATGAATCTGCTGCTGCCTAACTTTTAAAAGTCCGCTGAAGTCTTTGTGTTTTTGTCAAAAAGAATCCTTCGAATAGATATATGATTTTAAAATAGTTATCTACTCAAGAGCAAATTATTGCCTTGCACTTACTACTATTGTTCACAAAAACATCCACAATAAGTTTGCAAGGTAAACTGCCTGTGGGCTTTCATCATGCAATGTCAAAGTCCTTTTGACACTATCATACATAATGCAGTCCCACACCCACACATGAAGAATCCAGAGATAGTGCTGGCAGACAACTTTAGAGCACTACCGGAAAGTGTGAGATGCAGACAGATAACCCCCAACATGTTTTCTAATAGGGTAATTTATCTAAACAGTGACCACACTGTAAAAAAAAAACAACAGCCAGCAGCATCCCAGGGGCCCACCAGATACTGCAAAGTGCAACATTCTAGCCTTACTGTCGAACCACCGTATAATAATGGGGAAATATAATGTATTCATTTTTATCAGGTAGGTCTAGGATTCGATATTATTTCATGGCGTCTCCGTCAAGGGAAAAGTGTTGAAAATTTTTTTTAGAATAGAAGAGAAAACTTCATCTGACACCAACAGTGACATAAATTTCTCCTTGACAGGACTCTATGCACACATAAAACTTTCAAAAAAAAAAAGAACATAAGATAAAAATAGTAAAAAGGATCTTCAAATACCTCTGCTGAGAGCTGTAATTGCAGTAGGGATGAATGACTTTTATTTTGTTGTTTTCCTGGCCAGTGGGACTTTGTTTCTCCTGTCTAAAGGGAGGAGACTGAATGATTTTTTGTAGATAAAAAACTAAAGAAGAAAAGTCCTAAAGTTTGAAATATGAAGAAATGTGTAGCACTTTGAGAAATACACTTGATTTCATTCAGTATTTGCCAAGGGGAAGATTAATAACAACTTAGATTTACTTTTGTAGCAATGAACTAAAATAAAATTGTTAACAGTAGCAACTTCTGGAAGTAATTAGTGAATTTTGTGCAATCTGTACCAACTCATGTTGAAGATTTTTACTAATTATTAAGCCTAACTCCTAGTCAGAAGCTGTATGAGCACACTCTGACAATTTTTTTTAAATTTAAATTCAGCAACATTGTTTGCCGACCATGTTTGGAATGCTTAGTTCTAATAAATGCAGCAGAGGAATTAGATATTGTCAACAATCTGACTGCAACTCTACTACTCTGTAATAGTTTATTTATTTTTTTTTTAAAAAGAAGCAAAACAAGCTTGAATATGATAGCAACTGTGTATTTTTTTCTGCAAATACAAAATCAAAGAGGATGTGTTGCATCCGAGTACTTGCTCTCCACAAAGCCTGAAAACCGCAAATTTTACATTCTAATCCTGCCGGAAAGAAAAATAAAACTGTGGGAACAGCAAAGAGTGGGGTTGTATTCTCTTAGAAACGTGTTGCTGAATTACAAATGTATCATATTTTTCAGCTTGACTTTTTACATCATGCTGTCTATACTGACTTCCTTATTTCTGCTTCCACTTGAAGGAGGCTTGATAATATCTTTCTGCAGTAATTTTGTATTCTAAACGTTTCATGCAAAAACACCATCTGGTTTTGCATCTGCTCCTATTAGACAAGCCAGGAACCGGTTCTGCTGCCTTTCTCTCAGAAAACCCTTTATTTTCTACTGATTAAGACAGTTTCAGCCCAACCCAATTGCTACTGAGTTTCCTTGAGTCTTTATTCACTGTGGATGAGAGGAAAAAAGAGTACGGAACAGGATGAGGTTAGAAGACAAGCAAATGTAGTGGAAAGTAGGACAAGGTGGCCCGACAACAGACCTCAGGCTACAAACTGCATTAAACTTATGCAACCTCCTACCAGTTCTTCTGATTTCTTGTGCTAATACTACGCAGTAGCAACATGCTCTCTCTGTTAAAAACAAACATTCACCGAAGAAGGTTATAAGGTCAAAAACTAGAAGACATTATGTATCACCTAAAAAAATAGCTCTAGTTAACCTGTATCAGAAAAAAACTATTTTTCCTGAACAGATTTGTTGTTTAATTTTTTTTATACTTGAATGTTTAAGATTAGACAAAAAAGCATTTCTAAGTGAAGATTTGATTTATTACGGTAAAAGGCTGTTCAAACCAAACTAGCCCTGTGTAAATATATTTATTCCACCTGATATGTGGTATATTAGCTGTGACTCAGAAGCCACACGCTGGCCTCATTGCCACCTGTCCTGTACAATAAATAAATCCTGTATCTAACCTGTATGACAACAGAAAACCATCTAAAGCACTCCAGACCTAACTTGCCTTAAGGTCAGCATTCATTATTGATTATTCAAGACAAACTGCACAAAAATGTTATCTGTGGAATTTTCTAGGGTGAAAAACACACAAAGGAATGTCTCACATTTCCCCAAAATGTCTATAGATTACTTTTGGAAAAATACTTTGCTGACTGATGAGACAAAAGTAAATGTAAAAATGTCTCTGTCCCATGACATCTGATGTAAAACTAACCCAACATTTCATATAAAGAATATTGCAGTGAGTCAATAGTGTGGTGCCCTGGGCCTACTTTGCTGTAAGTAAAGGGGTTATCAATTCTATCAATTTTAAATTAAGGTCAGGTTGTTTTGGATAGGTTTTTTTTTTCCTTTTATAAATTAACTAAATTAAAAATTGCTTGTTCATTTTGACTCATGTTGTCTTTGACCGATCATAAATTTGCTTATCTGAAACTTTCGTCCCACAAATAAGGATAAGAGGACAACATTTGTAATAATTTTCACAGTGCTGTAGATTAAAGTGCAACACTGAGATTGGTTTGGGAGTCAATTAAATCTTCATTCATCTCCCTCACTTTCACTGTACAGATTAAGCAAAAAACAAAATTAACCGCAGTTGCTCCCTGGAAATCTAATTTTCTGTCAGAGCAGCTGTAATCAGATGAGTGGTTTTGCTGAGGGTCACAATGCCCCCATAATTGCCCGAAACATTTGACACCGTGATGCTAAAAACTTTAATCGGCTTGTTTAAATATGTCTGGATCATAATTTGTGAGGTAAATCCTTCAACCCCGATGAATGCACATACAACATGTCCGCTTTATTTTATATCCAGAACACGTAAACTGCAGCTGATAGCGCTGGGGAGGCAATCACGTTTGATACAACCTGATTGCGGAGAGCCGAAAGGGTTATTACAGTCTGCTGTGTCAGACAATGGAGATCCAGTAGTGTGTTTTTTTAGTATGTGGCTGATTTGAGGTAAAGCGCTAGACAAGCAGGTGAAACAGTGTGGCTAAACTGCACTGCAGCATGGGCCCCGAGGCTCGTTCATGACATGATGGATGCAAGTAGCCTCCACTTCTAATCTCACCCCCTTGAGTAAAACTGAAAAGAGAAATGTCGCACAGCTTGATGTGCGTGAACTCGTTAGTTGCAGGGTATTAGGTTAAATGTTTAAAACGACAAATCTTTTAACGTCTCCACTTTTCCTTGAGTCCTTTGATATCTAGCTTGTTCAGTTTTTTTCACCCCCTATAACTAATATCTTGGTGTTCTTCAAAAGCTTCTGTTTGTCTTCACCCCTAGTTATGTCTCCCTCTCACACCTTTTACACAACATCACTCACTGATTCTCTCCTGTCACTCCATAAGCTTCTCACAAGACAACTGATTTGTCAGATTATCTGCCTCCGCCTCAGTCTCTGCTGACAGAAGCTCTGAGTCTCATCCACATGCTTTGCTTGTGGTTAATTGCAATGAGTCAGCACTTTCTAAATTTTTAATGAAATTTAAAGAAACTGACTCCTTAATATACCCATACCACACATCCATTTTACTCTTAACTGTCCAATTAATTCACCTCAACTTCTCAAGCTTTGCAGTCAATTGTCTGGACACAAAATCTCCTCATAATAATGGAGTCATTTCTCTTCAGACGACCTGAAGTCATCAATGCATGGAAATGATGGCTCTGCCAGATCCCAGTAAATTGTAAACTGATGGAGCATGTGAAAGGAAATCAAGAAAAATAGCATTTCCAAGAAGAGGTGAGATGATGATTGAGATTTCCAGGCAGAATTAGTCATATAGGCCTGGAAGACTCAAATTGAAAATGTTATGTCCTCCTGTCTTTTTCATTTTTTTTAAGGTTTAGATTAAAACTGTAAATATGACATGGCAAACAGGCGCACTTTTCTTAAATGTGTCTCTTAACAGTTAGCTGTGCTAACCAGCTAACTGTCTGACACATGATCAAAGGAGCAAAATTTGATTGGCTAGAAGCTGCTTGACATAATTTAGTGCTGTTTAATTTGGCCTGGGTCACCATAAGGTCACCACATTTGTGGGTGATTTTTGCAGATTATTTTTTTTTCTGGTAAAATTAAAGTAAAACAAATAAAAATCATACATGTAATTGCACAGAATAAATAATCAACGTCTGTGATTTCATTTTTTTCCATAATAAACAAGCCACAGAGCCATGCTTATTTATATCTACAATCACAGCAATTATTAAAATGTTAAAACAAATTGAACCGTGTTAAAAACAGCCGGATGCAGAGGCAATTTTATTTTGTTGGCACAGAAATTGAGGATAATAATTCAAAGCACAGTAGATAAAATAAAGTCTCTACAGCTGATAATTGAGAACTGCTCAAAGAGAGCATTTTCCATTTTTTTGTTTGATAAAAATCAATAACAATGACCCAATAACCTTATAGTTTAACTGTGCCTTGGTCAGATGACTGTAAAAGTTGGGTTTTCAGAAATATCTTCCTCTCGTCCAAAGATCCTGGAAGAATTTGTAAATATTACTTATAGTCTGATGAGCTGAAGAGATGAAATCAAAAGAACAGGCCCATGACCATGGATGATATAAACAGGTTGTCAAGAGAGGAAAGAGGTTAAACAGGTTATTTGTTGGTTCTAGCCTTGAGAAATACTTCAGTAAAAAGCTAGCAATTATTCACAATTTAAAAAAAGAAGTTATTCAAAGTACAGGAATGCAGAGTGTGTGGAAAACAAATTGACACAACTAATAATTTCTCATGTGGAAGATAAATGCATTCAAGTAATTATTTTTTTTTTTCGTTTGAGATTATGTTACTGGATAAAAATAGAAATATATTCCAAGATTTTCTTTCAGGAACCTCACAGCGGCTGAGTGTAGCCTTTGTTTAATCTCCCCGGACTCTCAGCTAAGCTAAGCACAAGAGTGGAAAGCTGAGTTTAGATTAGAGCTGGTGGGATGCTGAAGTAGGGCGTGGGTTTCTGGAGCTTCACTGATTAGAAAGAAAGCTTTGCAGAAAGCCCTGCAAATATAAAAGGTGTCATTCAGATTGTGTATAAGAAATGATCTTCAAATCTTCCCCCCACTAAATATTTTTGATGTTTTCAGGGTAAAATCTATCTCTGCAGAAGCACCTTTGATATCAGTATATAGATCTTACTGTTTTCTGAATAATCACACAATTTAAGAAAACAGCAACACAAATACACAAATTTAAAGTAACGTTGTGGGGTAAAGGAAACACCAATTTACAATGTCAGGGAAAGTAGGCGGCTAAAACTACATTTTATGGTTCAGTAGCATTGAAATAATTAAACCAAATACCAGAAAACGATCAGATTTTATCGACAAATTAAATGCTACTACATAATAGTAGCATTTAATTTACAACATAAAATAATACAAAATAAGTGCAGTAATTGTTTTTATTAGTTTGCAATTATATTATACTTCAGATCTAATAATCTGATTAGAGGTGAAAAACATCAACTTCTTAGCTGTTTGTCAACTAAAACACTGTGTTTTTCGACGTAGTTTTGGATCTTGAATATTTTGAAATCTGATGCTTTTGTTTTATTCTTTCAGCTTCTTTTTTTCAGCTTTTTCCTCTGTTTAATTTCTGCTCATCAAAAACCACTCCATAAAGACACATTTGATAGCTCTACTTCACTGCCAGCATAATACAACCAGCCGGTCAAATGTTTCCAGTCAGTAATGCTAACTAACGGAGGTGTCACGAGTTCATGAAGGTCTACAAATTAAATTGGCACGAAGAAGATTAAGCTGTTTTCACCCTTGACATTTCTGTCACCACATAAGCCACAACCACACACAAGCTCTGTCCAAAAAAGTGAAAAGATGTTGCAGGAGTAAGAAGGGTGTGAAAAAAGAGCAGCAAGAGGGACATTAAGTGGGTTGGGGGTGGACAAGATGCCACAGACGTAAACACACACAAAACAGACAGAAGAATGACAAACACACTTAGACAAGGAGCACTAACCTTAAAGCTCCAGTAGTTGGGCTGTTGCTGTGGAGTTTCATGAAGAACAAAAGAAAGAAACACGAGAAAGATAGAGAAATTACTCTCTCGAGAATCATACATAATAATTGCAAGAAAATGCAAACTTTAAAAACATTAGTTGAAATGTAACAACGATTTTTTTTTATCCTGCCTTCTGTAAGGATTTACTGTATATTGCTGACAGGTAAATTTAAAGCATATACGGAAAACACAAGCACTGACTGGTCAATGATGGAGGTAATGGCTCCGCTTTCAGGCATCAGGTTACTGAAAACCTGACATGAGATTGTGTTATTATAAATGAAATGAAAAGAGCAATATTAAGTAAAATCAGCAGTCCATTCTCTCCTTGCAACGTTGGCTTTTCTCCCAGATTTCAACACTGGCAAACAACCATTTTGTCCCCTTCTTGCTCTCTGGTTTCTTCCAATCTCCTTCCACCTGCTGCTCACTTTTCATCACAACCCCCAAAGCTGACCTGCTAATTTGCAACACTGAATAACGTAGCAAACATCTGCACATTTGCCCTTCCTGCTGGTTGGACATTGCAGAAAAAGTGCTAACATATCCATAAAAGGCCTAAGGTAACAAGACTTAAAATAAGCCATAATTACCCCATAGTTAAAACCAGACATAGTCACTGCTGGCCTAGCAATATCTCAAGTTGACGATACGCAATATTAAAGATGGAGCAGAGTTCACAAATCTCAATTGTAATTCCAACTCCACTTTTATACTTCTCTGCAGGCAATATTCACCCAATTTAGCTTCTCTTCTATAAAGTCCACATTACCCTGAGATAGGATTAAAAAAGTGACAGGCATGTTTTTAGTTATGATAGTCAGTGTGTTTTCAATATATATATAATCATAAATTAAATATATGGTTATGCTGAGAATAAACCTATTTCAAGAGTTTAGTTTATTAAAAAGTTTTACAATCAATAAGATTAGAATTTAACTGTGACTGATATTTTTCCACAAGCCATGAAACTTGACAGATGCTTTTTTTTTATGAACAAGGGAGGTACATATCATTAGGTCTTGTTGTTTTATGCTAACTCCTCACAGCAGGAGATCATCTTCATTAAATGTATTCTGCTTTAGATAATAACTCATGTCTGGCACTTTTCTGGCTGCAATGTATTTGTGAAAACAGCAATAACTGCTTGGTAATTCAGAGGTGTACCTGATTTATTAATACTCAGTATTAGTTGATGTTTTCTTTCTGTTTTGCAGAAAACAGTTGGACAGTATCAAACAGAATATTCCAACATTTTAGATGCAGTAAAGCCAAAAATAAAGTAAATACCAACTTCAATGTACTTTTCTAATATAAATGTTGTTTTACTCTGATTAATGTGTTAATTTTATAATGAAAATGCAAACAACAGCACTTAACGCTGACAAAAGTATTCTAGCATTAAATAGCCCCTCCATATATATGTTCTTTGTAATTAAGCATACTTTGACATCGAGGTTTATCTGTCAAGCTGCTTCTTTTGTGAGTTTGCTCAGTCAGTTGCTGCATTCATATACGCTGTTTTATAAAAGGAGTCTTCTGGAAAAGAGCCAGAGCTTTGATAATTATGTTACAGCAATAGTAAGAACTTCAACAACCTGGAAACAAAGACGCAGCAGATAATGGCTGATTAACTGAGAAATCCAGTTGTTCCTTATATAGTACTTTAATATTAGAGGTATGTGAACATATAGGCTCAGACATATGCCAAAAGAAAAAAAAGACATCAAAATTTCAACCTACGCTTCTTTCTCCTTTAACATATAAATGACTCCTGACAAACGTCATAGCAGCTAGAATGAAAGACAACGCTTTGATGTAATGCTGTGAAAAAAAGTCTATACTCCTGCCAGCTGTGCTGTTTGTATTTTTCAAATGTTTTTGGTTGCTGTTGTTGAAGACAAAAATTTATTTTTTACACTCCTCAAGCATTGGTTCAACAAGTGTAAATAAGCTATTTTAAAACGCACTGGATGGATGAATTTGTTAATAATACCATGTTCTCTGAGGAGAGGTTGCGTTAGGGGTTAATGGGTCATTGATAATGGGTCTGTGTCAGGGACGAGCTAATCATGAGGTCTCTCCAGAGTAAAAGTAAACTGGCCTTGACTATCCGGTTATATTGAACATAACCAGAAAGTTTCATCATCTGCGGGGAGCCCAAGGGCATCATTTCAATGTTGTAAATAAAAGCAATTAATTTGTTATGACACTAAGAAGAATGATTTTGTTCTTACCCGCAAGACAAAATAAGTCAGAGACACCAGCTTTAATGGCGGAGAAGAAATTTGTGGTTTTGTGCATCTGTCTTTGGCAACGTCTGTTGCATTAATAACGTGCACTTGTGATGCTAAGGTAAACATATCTAATCCTTTCTGCCCGCTTTGCTGACAGAGGCAGATAAACACAGCTTGGACTTTGAGTTGTAAATACTACAAAAAGCAAACTGGAGAGGGTTTATTTGATTATGTTACCCCTGACAACCATGCAATTAAAGAACATTTTCTGTCGTAAGAGTACATTTAACAACTTATTCTATGCTTTGCTGCAAATTTACAAGCAGCTTCTTATGTCACTTTATGCCTTAAGCGGATAATTACTGCGGTCTATTTAAGATGTCAGATTAAACTTAGAACTGAGGGGTCAAATGCAACGCTCACTTCAGAAATGTGAGAATCATCTGCACAATTAAACATTCACACAGACACGTGCAAGTGGAGTCCAGCGAAGAAACGTAGCCTCAAAGAGTGGCGCGCTGCGTTACCTGACCTGCATGTAAAGCAGACTCTTTACTCCCTCCCTTCCCTCCTCCACTCTTTCTCATGTCGGCCTTTTCCCTGCCCCCCCCCCCCCCTCCGCTCCTCTCCATCTCACTCATTCTTACTCGTGCACCCTAAATCATCCTGTGGTCCAGTTTAGTTGCAACACAACAGCAGTTTCCGCTACCCATTCTAAAAACACAGATAATATCTGCACAGAAAATCAACCCCACGCTCGAAGGGAGACAAGAAAAGCTTTGTGCACAGCTTTTACTATCGTCCCCTCAGCTTTTGTCTGCTGTGGGTTTCCGCCTGCTGAGGCATATGCACTCTGTCACTACAACAACCACAACAAACATAACAGGCGTGGAATCTAATCCCAGCTGGCACATCCTTATCCCACACACACACACACGCTCGCATACACACTTCTCTGCAACAGCTTCCAGCTTCCAGTTAAATCTCACCTGCAGAGCACCTGTGCCTGTCCAAGACTCCAGTCACCCCAGACTGTCCATCAGGTGCAGAAAATCCTCAGCGCATTTTTTTTTTCTGTTTGCTCGTCTCTCCCTCCCTCTGCTTCTCTTACAAATCTCCCTCTTCCTCATTCAAGTCCCTCTCTTTCCCCGTCTCGCTCTACAATTGCACATGCGGCGGAAACTCTTTTTTTATTTAATTCATTACAACACCAGCCGATTAACTCCTTCACAGATGGGCGGTCGGGTCCTGCTGGTGCTGGTTAATTGGTCAGTGGACTGCTTGACTGCGACCACGAACCCCCGCCCCCTTCTGGCTTCCCTCCACGAGAGAAATGACAAGGAATCCTGGAGTCTGCTGCTCCCTCCCTGGTGCAGTGAAAATGCCCTGTCACTTCAGGATCCGTCTGCTCACCGTGCTGTCCCTCCACTCGTCAATCATTTCTGTCTTCATTATTGTCCCATTCTTTCTTCTCCACACAACCTGACCTTTGCAATACGATATCCCTTCGTGCCTTATATGGGAGTGGTTCCCAAGGCAACCGGGACTCCACCTGTCGTTCACCCACCCAACTCTCTCTCTCAATCCCTTTCATTCTCTCTCTCCTCTTCCCTCATGTGCTTTTCTGTCACGTCATTTCACCTGAATTTTCCCAAATTTACATACAGCAGCAGCGCTTACATGCCCTTTGCATGTTTGCTGCAGGGACGGAAACTGTGAAACTGGTTCTTACATAAGCTACACTTCAAAGGGGCAAAAATCATTTAAATGCTTAAATATGTCTTCCTTCACCTCACGGGATCCAGTTTTGACCCCAAGGTAACACTTTGCAGGATCTGCCAAGCAGAAACTAGCCAATACTCGACAGATACAACATAAAAATCCTTGCAATGTATCATAAAAACTAAGGGTGCATTCACATCGGCCCTGTTAAGTCTGCTTTAACCAAAATCTAGTTTGTTTGCCTAGGAAATCCAGTTCATTTGGGGAGATGTGAATGACATCACAGAGGTCTAGCTTCGGTTGAAGTGAACTCTGATGTGGTTTGGTTTGGATGCATATGTGTATGAAAAGCTGAGCAGAGGTCGCTCCAAAAAAATGAAGAAGGGTATGGTGCAGGGCAATCTGTTTGAATACAACCAAAACAAACTCGCTAATCTAGTGCTAGCAGGAGAAATGTTTTGTGCTCCTTTGGCAAAGTCAAACAAGAAGTCCTAGTTCAAATCTGACAGTACTCCATTTTTGTTTACATTTCATGAAGAAGGAACTTGTGGTCATGTCTCTTTTAGAAGTAATCGTATTTCCTTTAGTGGTTCTTGGTCCAGCGGCACCACAGGTGATGGGGTAAATGTGTTGACACAGTGCGGTGTGAAAGCGAACCACTCAAGCTAAAAATGTTACAAATGGTGCAATTTCTGTCCCCAGTTGAATCAAGTTTACCAAACTATCAAGTGTGAAAACAATCTAAGTGTCTTTAATGCACAGAAAAATAAATACAACATTTCAACAGCATAAAAATCGCCAATAATAATTGTAGAGCTGCAGCATCTACACTAAACAACCCGGGTCAACAAAAAATTTACCTTTTATGTAAATTCATTAAATAGAATAACAACAACAACAACGGTGATATAACAAAAGCACTTTCTTCACAGCCATAATCTTTTTTGTACTGATCATACTTCACAACTTTCTGCAACTTTAAGTCGATCTGTGGTGAGTTCAACTGACTGGACTTGATTTGGAATGGAAAACACCAAACAATAAAGCTGAAGAAACTGTCCTTAGACCCCTGAGACTTGATTGTTTCAAAACACAAATCTGGTGAAGGACATAAAACATTTTGGGAGGATGAAATTTGACAACCATTATTTGAAAATATAAAAAAACTCATAGGCAGAGAGTCTTTGCAGATAGGAATATCTCCAGAAGGTTATTGCATGCACTTTGCTTATGCTCTCCACTAACCAGTACTTAACATTAAAGTGGTCATATGGAGATGGAAACTTGCTTGAAGTTGGCAGAATCACAACTTAAAGATTACTGGACCCAGAGACACAAAACTCTCTGATGCGATGAAACCAAAATAAAGCTTTTTGGTCTGAACATCACAATTGGAGAGAAGAAGGAGGTACTACTGATCACAAGATATCTCTCTGTGTCTTATTTATGAAATATCTGTGAGTATTACAAATTTCCTTTGAAGTGATAATAATCCGGTTCCAATCCCGACACGAGTTTTCTCATCTTGTGCCTCAACAGAGAACATGGTAAATTTGCTTTGACAAAATCCCTTTAAACTTTGTTACGGTTAACTTATTCTATCGAGTTTGTAGTGAATCTAAATAAGCCATAAAATGTAGTCACTGTAATAGCCTTTTCCTACTTGCAACATCTTAGTAAGACCTCACTCATCACTGCTGTGGAGCGAGGAGTTGCCTGCTCCGTATCTGCCGAATAATAGTCCTGTGTTGGACTTCAGAGTGAAAATTCTTGCAAAAAACAGTCAGGGTAAATAAAATTGCTGTTCTTGGTCATGTTCAAAATGTCCCTTTAGGGCTACACTTTAAATATCCAAAAATATTTTTTTCAGTGTCACGGTTACATTCCGTACAGCTTGTGAACAAAATGTGGCAAAGAGAGCCAGAAAGATGCAGCACCAAACACAGTCTCTATTTCAGCAGTAAGAATCATTGCAAACATGGTTAGAAAAAGGTCATGAACAGGAAAAGGGCTGCAGTTCCTAAACACTGACTAGGGTGTGGCTGGCAAAGTCAAATTTAGAACAACAATAACATGGTATGTTTGTTAAAGGTGACCTATTAGGCGTCCTTGATTTGGTTAGGATAGGTCTATGAACTATACAAAGCATGTTCATTAAATTTTTTGCACAAAATCATTTTAGATAATGAGATTTAGTCTGCTCAGTTCTGCCAATGTTTACACTTGACTGTGAAAATGGCTGAAGGCAAATTCACAATTACACAACCGTCTATATTTGAAAAGCAGAAGTAGAGCCTCCGGCACAACCAATAAGAATGCAGCAAGTGGTTTCTGAATAGTAAATCAACAACAAAACACTTATCTTTTCCACCAGCCACCGTAGTGCGCACACAGCAGTAAAACCAGCTAACCAAATGTCCTGGAGCTCAGCTTGGGTTGCTACAGGCTGGGCTTCGCTGGGGTTGCTTTGCTTTGCTGGAGTTACTAGGTGAGAGGCAGTGCTTGCTGATTTGTGACGTTACATTCGGAAGGCTTTTGAAACTTGTAATTTCAAAAACCTGGTTTTTAACTTATTGTCAAAAACCAGCTGGGTTTTTTAAGCATTTGGGCTGTTTTTAGAAGCAGTAGAAACCCAAGTGAAAGTATAAAAATATGCCAAATGTGAATTTTGCATAAGATATTCCCTTTAAGTTAGGGACTTTGATACCATCAATTTAATACTCCCTAGATTAGAACCATGATCTGACACTTGAATCTGGACACGTCAACTAAAAACAGCTGCTTTAATTATCCAGTACAAGTCTGTTTTGTGTCCTTTAGAATGGACTATTGTTAGACTAACAGTGATATAATTCACAAGCAGCTAAAAAGCTGACAATAGTGCATCAGGAAATAAATGGAATTGCAGACACTTTTGCATCTGCCTTAAGTCACAAGTTAACGCAATTATAAAAAAAAAAACATATCTCAGGGCATCAGTAAAAATACATAACAAATATTATTACCTGTTCTCTAGCAGACCGATCCGAGGAGCCCCTCATGCTGGCATGGGATGGTGAGGGTGATGGTGGGTTGTGGTGGGGGCTGTGATGCGGATGCTGCAGCTGCTGCTGCTGCTGCTGTTGCTGCTGCTGTTGGTATTTGCTCTTCAGATGATCCATGAAGGCGTCCCTCTTCCGTTCCATGTCAGCCTTATGCAAGTTGGTCAGGGCCTCCAGACTCTGTGCGGCGCTGACAGTGTGGCGGTGCTCAGATGTGTGCACCAAGCCAACATTGGAGAAACGCCGGCCGCTGTTCCCCAGCGTCCTGTACTCTCGTGGATACTCCAGGTCATCTGTGGAGATCATGTGACTGCCGCCACGCTCGGGATCTAAAAGATGAGGATGGAGGAGGAGGAGAAGGAGAAGGAGGGATGAGGAAAAGGAAAAAAAGAGGTAAGAGGAAGGAGGGCGGAACGCGTACGGATGAGAGGCAAATTGCCACCCAAATCCGCATCCAGGAACATTTCAGGGTGGAGACATACAGACAGGCAGCAGACACACACAGGTGGAAACAAGTGAAGCAGAGGGGAGCAGAGAGGAAAAACGGCACAAAGGGGACAGGAGAGAGAAAGAGAGAGAAATGGGGTGGGATGTTAGACTATTTGCCACCAGGACAGAGCAGTTTCTTGCAGAATTATTGATTTCAAGTTCTAAGGGGGAAGAAAAATGAGAAAAGTAAAGTGCTTCTGCAATAGATCAAAGGCAGGGGCTCTAAGCTGAATTTGTTTTGTCGGTTATTCCGTTCTGATATGCCTGTTTGTCTTTAAGTGGCTCTCATGTTTTTATTTAGAAAACAGCCAAAAAGAAATGTCTTGACATTAAGTGATTGAAAGTCAGGTGGGAACATGTAGGAACAGGTACATCATTTCTATCATTACTCTGTCTTACTTTTCTCAGCAACTTCTCCCCATCATTCCCTCAGACACCCGTCACCCGCTGACACTTTCTTTACATGTTCTCACTATCTCTCTGTTCCTTCTGTCCATTTTAAGGACTCCCATCACTCTGACAGCACGTGGCCTTTTTATCAGTGCTCAATCTGACAGGCAATGCAGCCCAAGGTGGAAATCAGACAGGAAGAGAACAAAGACAGGCGGAAGAAGATGGTTACACATAAAATATGTGACTGGAATAGCAATGAACTTAGGAGGGGACAAAAAAGCAGGGAGCCATTCGCCCGGTGAGTTACCTTGCTTAGGATAACAGGCCCCAGCGTTGGCTAAAAGAGAAACATGTGAAGGGTTAATTTGTGTGTTTGTGCACAGATGTGCAAGCAAACACATCAGGTCTAGTTCATATGGCAATGGAAAAAGCTATCAAGGCATGATAGCACTTTCTCTGGGTTACCAGAAGGTGATGCATTATATATGCATCATAATGGATTCAAACAAGTTAACATACGGATGGTGGGATATGAATGCTGTTCGTCTTCCAATAACCTGCTGGAATGAATGATGATGATTATGCATTTTCACAGCAAAATTAAATTGCAAATTACCGTCAGTGATTAGGTGGGGAAAAAAATCAATTTTGCAATTCTGGTTAAATTAAAAGTGTAAAATAAGGCTAAAGAAAGCTGACCTCCTACACATGAAATGCTCATCAGCAGCAATAGGAATAGCTGAACGAGTGAGCAGCAGAGGAAGATTTCTCTAGGCAAAAGTTGCAATTAGACCGGTAATGTACAGAGGAGAAAGACAGACGTTTTCCACATAAAGGATAAACCGACACATAGAGTAAGTCTATTAGTCGGAGCAGGTCTGTGATAATTCCAGAAAAGTAGAACTCAAACAGCGTACCGATTCTCAACCCACTTCTCACTTTATTCACGCTCGAAGAGTTCTCGCACTTAAGCGTGATCCTCACTTTTAACACTCTGCCCTTACATCCTTCACATTATGAAGCGCTGATAAACTGAGTAAAGGGTGAGACAGAAAGGAATGACCTCCTGGCTAACAACATTAGGATTGAGTTCTGCCTTGCTCTCCAAGGCTGCCGGTCATATTCATCTAAACTCCCGCTTAGAGCTCCCTCCTATCTGGTTTACACTTCATTAGACTGGAGCTTATTGTGCATCAGCTAACAAGGACCTTACTCAAGGGTCTGATTACAATAGTGAGGAAAGCCGTGGCTGTGTGTTATGGCTTGTTAATGTGCCGGAGTGTCCGCAGCATGACAGTAAAAAGCTGACAAAGCAAAATGATGCACATACTATCAGCTGATTGGCTCCTTTTCTCAGATTCTGCCTTGGTTAGGCAGCCATTCATCACCGGGTAAAACCAGTTTGAACATCGCTGGAAAGTGGAGTGGGAAAATTTTAAAAAACTAACTGAAATGTGAAAACAATGGTGGCTGTTCTTATCTGGTTGTTTACATGTGAAGTTTCTGCACCTACACTACCAGTTACCGCCTTGCTGCGGAGACGGAAACGACATTAGAACTTTCAGATTAAGACTTAACAGTAACATGATAAAATTGAGGGTTTCTGCATAAGGTGCACTGTTTGAGAGGAGTTCTGCTTAAATATTCAACAGTACAGACAAAAGAAATAATTTGCAAAAGAATTCAAAATTTGTTTTTCAAAAACAGATTGCTGTAAGTTAATCACTGCTGAAGAAAAGAAGCCTGTTGTTTTTTGAGGGTTTTTTGTGATTAATTGTTTATATGAGATGATTTTATATGATTTTAAGGCATGTGAACAGTTGCTCTTGTTTTTTCTTCCTCCTCTTCAACATCCTCACTTCCTTAATCCAAACATGTTACCAGGGCTTTTCTTTGAAAGCACAGAAGACACATTTTGAATTTGAACTGCAGCCTGAAACACTCATGCATACTTTGGGGTATGTGTCGTTCTCCCAAGTTGGGACACTGATCTCTATGCTTAAGGGGCCAAGCCATGGGCATATAAGTGTACCTATTGGCACGAAGAATGTCGACTGTTTTAGTTGCTTGGTGAGATTTTTCTTGCTGAGGCCACAGTATTTAGCAGTCTGTCGTTCCCCTACTTTCTATCACTGTTGTGAGAATTTGTCTCTATTAAAGGAGACAAAGAAAGTACTGGAGAAGACACAAATAATATGATTTTGATTTGTTTGAACATTGAATGCAAGTGTTCAATCAAGAAATAATAATATACATTTGACTCTTTCTTCACCCTCTGTTGAGCACCGTCTGCTTGTAATGTTGCATACTTTTCAAGCGTACCAAAATATTTTACAATAGCCAAATTATTTCTCATATAAATTTTCACATATATTCTTACTGAACTGGTGTGTGTGTATTATAAGAAAGATAAGGTTTGAAAATGGAAAAAAAAAAACTAAACATATAAGACCTTGTTTGAAGGACCAGAGTGATGAGTTTTTAAAATATGTTTGTCTTTTTGAAGTTGTCAGGTCTGCCAATGTTTTAAATGCAATAATGGAGAAATCCCGCTAGTCAGCCCATTATGTGTTTTGTTGTTCCATTTCACTCTTCAGGAGTTTATCTAAGCCTGTGTGCCTCTGGATGAATAACAACAATAGCAGCGCTGAGGTGTTTCACATCCAGAATGTCTGTTTTCTACAAAACAAAAGCCTGAAAGAACTGTAATCACGTTCGTGTTTTTGCACAGCAATTATTACTGTGCAAAAAAAAGAAGTTCTTGTGCCAAAATATAGGTTGGGATAACAACTTTGTAAACACTCAGCACAATCAACTCTGTTGTGCTAAAAAAGGAATATTTCTTTATAAAACGTGTTTTGATTTCTACCCTAAAAACTTTTCAAACTGCACTCTATAGAGCCGGGCTGCAACACTGTATGAAAAGGCCCTATCTTAAAAGCAGCAGAAGTAGAAGAAGTTGTGTGGGTAGGGATATAAGAAAAGAAAATGGGAACAGGTTATTCTTTTTGTATTCTCAACATTCACAATGAATACATTTCTACATAAGTTGGAAGACAACAACGGTGACAGGCAAAACAATGAGGGCCCACGCAACGGCAGCGTAATTTAAAACACAAATGTGAAAAATGTTGGTGAAAAAAATAAACGCTTTAATGCAATACAGAAACGTCTGCATTTGACTCTGGATCTAACGCTGGATTAATGTGGACACTCGGAGACGAAGAACATGTTGCAGCGCTTTTTTGATCCACTGAATAATTAAGTGCCTGAATGAAAAGAGAGCCTGCTATCTGAATTGATAAGACCAGTGACCTCGGCCATCGAGATCCCAGCTCCACTTGAAGATCAAGGAATGATCCAGGGTCTGATCAAAAGCTTTTACCTGGTTAAAAGAGAGCAAGCGGATGGGCATGGAAAGATAATAGAAGACAAATGGGCTGAGGGAAATTATGATCTTAAAATGATGGATTCTGCAAGATAAGAAAAAATAACTTGGCATCTCAACTGTAATTGCTGCTTCTGGCTTATGGAAAACAAACTGTATGAAACCTTCTCTCAGCAGTGAATAGGTTTAAATGTTTGATCTTTTTCATAGAACTTGTAGACTTTTCTTCACAAAGCCACCCTTTTCACGGTTTAAGTCACCAGTTTGCACCGCCTTCGGTTGGTTATTTATGCATACAGCTTGTGACACGAACCAATCGCCAACACACCCACAGAAATTATCAAAACACACATTTGAATATTCAGTCTTTCTAAATCCAAACCTTAAACCAACTAACTCAGAAAGACAGCATTTTTTTTTCGAACCTCAGTGTCAGGCTACACGGGGAACAGGACTTTAAAGTCAGGATTCAAGGATTCTCCCTCATTATATGCAGACTTACACAGTATGGAGAATCAGAGAAAGTGGTTTGAGTGCTTTGATGGATTTGGAAGCGGCAGGAACCGCAGCTTTATATTTTGAGGGTGTAGTACGAGTGGGTCAGAATGAGCAGGGGAATGTACAAGAGTCTTCATGTCTCAGAGCATGATAAGAGAGCCGCAGGCTGCAGCTCTGGATACAGTAGTTAAATCTAATTTCACAGGTATTTTAAACATTCAAATCCCTCCTGAGGCTAATGACTAAACATTGTTTTAAAGGGGCCACATATCCCTTACATCTATTAGCGACACAGGTGTCTGAAGAAATTACAGCTTCCTCTGGCAACCTAATTAGTCTACAGCTTATGTAGCCATTGATGCCTATTTAACACTTCTGTTTTGTTTTATTACAAACACAATCTTCAAAGTTCTTAGAAGGAATTTATGTGACAAGCCTACAAAAGTATCCCATTATTGAGAAGTGAAAGGAAAAGGATACATTACCTCCAAATGCTTTTCTTCAGTTTCAAAGTTGACTGAGCTAACCTGTGCATATTTTAATCTCAGTATAAATGCAACTATGCTGTGAAGCCCTCAGTAAAACAGAATCAGGAGGATCAAGAGACACACCAAACAGCTCAGAGATAACATTACAAATAATCTTAATAATCTTAAAGCTGGCTTAAGCTATAAAAAATTGTATATTGAATCTCAAAATTGATCTTATAAATGGCAGATTTTGTTGTAAAATAATTTTCTTTCAACCAAGGAGTGTGTGATGGAAATAGAGGTATTGGAATTGGAATGAAATCATAAGAAAGCATTTTAGAAGGGGCAGTAAAATATATTTATGTTTTGTTGAGATTAGTAAATTAGTTAAATCATTATGATTACTATTAGGTGTTGAGATGCTTTACCAAGGCCGAGAAAGAGTCACACGCTGTTAGACAAAGGGCCCATAGTAAAGAGTTACATTTTTGATTCTGTTAGACACCAAGGTCCATTTCTCACGAGAAACAGAAACTTATCAGGCCACAGAGGCATGGTATGATTTCAGGGAGTGTCTTCCGTCCATATAATCAGCTGCCCTCCTCTTTCTCCTCAGACGCTGCACAGACTTTTTTAGAAACTCTTCTCGGATGTAATGGTAAAGTGTCTCCTTTCAGCGCTGAAAGTTAATAAAATAAGTAAAGTCTGAATGCTTTTCTTGGCTGATTTTATGCTCCGTGTGTCAATACAAATTATGATTCATCGATTGAGATTCTAAATCTCAACAGTTTTTATTTACATTTCAATAAAAAGTGATATGTCAGAACTTGTTTATACCCTTCTCAATAGTCCACAGAAGAATTGTTCTGGGCATTGCAGCAATCAAACCTCTTTAATAATTTATCTTTGGTGATGAGCTCCAACTGTTTGAGATTGGAAAACCTTCTTGCTTTCACCCTAATCTTTAGCTCTCCCCATATA